CTGCCCCTAATGATTTTATAATTCAAAAAGTTTGGAAATATTGAGATTTGATATTGTTCTTCAAACTGTCAAATGCTGTTTAACAATTTACTCAAAGAGTTAATAAATTTTTTTTTCACCATCCATGCCCTCATTATTACTAATTTAATTTAAAACCAATATGGCTTGTAAATTAAGAAATTTGGAATTTTATCTGTACAAAATTAGGTTCGAAATATCTGTAGTAAGTAAGAGAAAAGAAAGCCAAAAAAGTCGAAGAAATTATATTTCTTTACCAAATAAATATGTCCTAATTTTCTAAACTATACTAAATATTACAGCTGCAGTGTTTTATACCCAGAGGCAAAAAGAAGCTCATCAATTGATTCAAGGACATCAATCCAAGAATTTGCATGATAATCATATTTACTATAATTACACCCAGAGTTGGCCTTCAGTCAGAGCTATCAGGGCACACGCCCTTCATTCTGCATGTCCAAAATACGATAATAAAATATTTGCTGGTGATCTTAATGCTAAAATTGGAAAGGAGAATATAGTAGTCATAGTAAGTAATGCATATAGAATAGAATATAGAAAGCAATGGATGAATATATACTGGATGACCAATTTAACTACTTTTTGGAACCTCACAGTTGAGAGGTCTAGATAATGAGCAACCATATTTGTAAATTATCTTTGTTTAATTTTAATTGTTATTTCCAGATGACTTGGTAATGAGCCAATCATCTCGAAACATCGTCAGAAGTATAATCAAGAATGGTTGAAAATATAAGGGCCTATTTATACCTTGATGATACCATATATAAGAACACTGAGTGCCCTTGAAAAATACTACTGAAGTAGCTAAATACACTGACAGGCAAAAAATTCCACCCACTTGATTTTTTCATGTTTTCATCTAAAAATATTTCTGCTTTGGATTGGTCTATTGTTTTTAATGAATAAATAGGTAATCTTTTTGTTCGTTTTCAATTAGGAATGTTAATATAGAGGACAATAACCCTTAATCCTTAATTCAATGAAATGATTCTAGATTCCAATGTTTACTTTCTATGGAATCAAAATGTTTATTCAGTATCATTAGTTCAGTGCCGTTTCTTGCAGCACATTTCTTAGAATTCCATAAATACTAAGTATTATATACAAATACAACTTTACAGAAATATTTTTAGATGAAAACATGGAAAAATCAAATGGGTGTAAGTTTTTGCCTGTCAGTGTATATGCATTGACCTTTTTTTGGTTTACGCTAAATAACTCCTTTTTAAATTGAAATAGATAAAAAATGGTTATGTTTGATCTTAAACAGCTTAAAATTATGTAACATTTTTTTTCTAAACACAACAGGAAGCGAACTATCAAGCTTTCAAAACAGGTAAACTTTGAAAATTCGCAAAAAAAACTAGATAGAATTACAGAATCTTTCCGTTCAAAAGTGAGAGAGCACTATTGTGAAGAAATTGAAATGGGTAAATTTTGAAAGTTTTATAGTTAAGTTGTTTAAGACTGAATATTGAATATAATCAGATATTAGCGTAAACCAAAAAAATTTCGAAATGTCAATGGTTTTTTTTAGCACTGTAGCGAATCTACAAGACTTACAAGGTCGGAAACTCGGATTTTTCATATTCACTACATACCCAATGATATAAAAAATAAATTTGAATTACCCGATCTTTTGCAAGGTAACACGTCTAATTTGACTAATCGTAACATACAATTTTTTATCTTGGAAAATTCTCGTAAATCTAGCGTTTTCTCATTAAATTAATTAATATTAATGAGGTAATAAAAACTCATAAATACCCACTTGCTTTCTACTTGAGCCGAAAGATAATTTAATCACAAAACAGAGAAAAAATCTGGAGCGGTGGTTTATACCATCTCGTTATTTGACATGTTGGGGATGAAGGTCACCCAATATTTTTGTAACCACATATTTTCTTGATTTTGCGATAAAATTGTCTCACGACTCAATTGGAAAGCAAATGGATGCTCATAAGTTTTTAGCACCTCATAAAATAAAGTTTACCGATATCCAGATTGAAAATGCCCTATTTCCAAGTATTTTCGCAAATAAAAAATCTTGTGCGGTGCACGCATCACACAACTTTTACTTACCACCCTCCTCTTAACAGAAATTAGTATTTTCAGACAAAAGGAGAAGTAAAAATAAAAATTATAGACGCTATAATTATTTACATTTTAGGTATTTTTATTTGTATAAGTGCCCTTATATACACAAATTTTAATATTTATATCAATGTAATCTATACAATTAAACATTAAATAATACCAACAATAGCATTTATGAAAATCGCATATTTATATTTATATAATACTGTCGGAGTCCGTAATATATTAAGCTCATGTTACGTATCGAAGCGTGTTATAATCTTTCGGACGAGCTACATTACGATTTTTTATTTCTCCTTTAATTAATTATCAAATTATTTCTTATTTTATATTTAACTATCTTTTATATTAGAGATTAATGTGAACTAGTAAATTGTTTCAGATAAAAAAAATTAAAGGTACTTTAGAGGAAGCTAATATTCAAAATTAGCCATTTAGGCCCTGTTAGAGAACATCAATCAGAATAAAAACTACATTTTTTTAAAAACTGTTTAATTTTACACTGATATAATGAATTTTATCAAAATCGTTGGAGCCGTTTCCGAGAAAATTGTAAAAAATGTGTTTAGCCCATGATATAAAGTGCCACTTCCGGTCAGTCGATTTTGAAGAAAAAGTTACTGTAACATCCCTAGCATATAAAAACATTAAATATGCAATTTCACTTTCGTAAGAATTTTTTTTTTTTAGCTAGACTGTTAGTTAACACACAGACCATTTTGCGGGACTTGGTTATTTGGACTCATTCAAAAATTTTCACGATCGCAATACTTTCCTTTACTATATATTTCATATAAAGTAAGTGAAAGTAAAAAGTAAGTTACGATAAGACGAAGTTTTTGACGGATGTTAATAATTTAATTAAGAGAGATCTGTAGACTATAGACTTGTTTGGTCGATCTCGTTAAAGGAGTTGCCTGCATTGGCATTCTCGAGTCAGAAACAGAGCTAGTTCGATTCTGCCCTTGACTGGTATATTTATTTTCTGGAAGACCGAATGAACTTCGATCTTTTCACTGTGCTCAGAATAGATTGATACCCTGCAAGATTACCCTAGTTGGAATACATTTGGAAGTTAAATCTCAAACAAACGTTTGAGATCTTGAAACATACGTTGTAATTCATTATGGCATTCTTATTATTACTGCTTGACGCGACAACACACTAAATCATTTTAAATGCTTTCTTCAATGTTATTTCCAATTGGAATATTACATAAACATGTTGACAAATTACTTCGTTTCACATTTCGGAACGTTGTAAACAATACATGCTGGTCTTAAATACAATAGTTCTTATTTAATACCAGAAAGTACAATAATGAGATGAATGATTTCAGATGGGAAACGTTACGTTTTAAAAACTGCGTTTATTTTTAATGTTTTAGATAGTAAAATAGTAATTTAATGTTTTAGTTAATAATATAATAATAATTTCTTAGTGACAGCAGCACTGACATGAAAATGAGACAGTATTGCATTTTAACTGCAATTAAGGTTAACCAATGAGTTATACACTAATAGTTATTGTAGGTTTATCTGTAACTATTTTTTTTTTTGTCATTGAGTTGCGAATTACTTTTAATGATTTTAGTTGAACTCCACTGGTGTTCCTTCAAACGTTTTACATTTGCTGAAACTTCCTGACTTGATTTAACGATGAAAAGTCACCTATTTTCAAACTCTTAATCGAACCAAATATTATGATGAATCTTCTAGCTCTTTTATGACAATGGCAGATCGAACGAAAACGGAATACGTGATGATAGTGGAACAGTTGGATATGACAGCAAGACTACGCTTCCTTAAAGATCTGCAAGTATATCTTCCACTTAAGATGGGCGTTACATTCAAGTGTTTATGATTTTAAATAACAATATATTAACTTTCCATCTTATTTTTAAATATTTCATAAATGGGGAATCATCAACTGAAAGTTTATAAGTCATTGGGTATTTTTGTTTTCTTTAAAAAGATATATTTTCCAGTTTTCAAAATAAGGAGTGATTTATGTGATATAGCTCATTTCATCAATAATAATTTTAAAAAACAACATCAAAATAAATAGAAACACCAATGCATAGAGTGATTTCACATATTACCATAAAATGATAGATTTATTTTCTTATTAATCATAATAACTATTCCCACCCTACAAAAGCGGCATAAGTTTATTATTGCTTGACAGGTTTCCTAATTTGATGATACACATTGAATTAGAGCTAAAAATACAAAATAATGTTAACAAAACTTCAACGAACACAACAAATTTAACAGTCATTGAAAATCTTCAAACATACTTTCTCTCTCCATATACACATACACTTATTTGCCAGTACCTAATCTAGTTGAGGCTGAGCTCAGGAAGAGTGGAGATTGAAACAGGGTAGAAAAGTGGGGATGTCATTTTAACCAACTGTTCAAGGTTTACAAATAGGTCCTGGACACATTGTTATTGTACTAATCTCTTGCATGAACAATTATTGTAATTCTAGCAATTAATTGTAATCCAGAAACATGATTAGTATATTCAGTTTTGAAGTCATGATATGATTTACTTAGTCAAAAGCAGTACTCTTGTGATGCTATAGTATATAAACCAACAGAACATTAAAAATAAAACAAAAATATAAGTGCTTTAGGTTACTCTTTAATTTTGTTTTGGATAATAAAATTAATTAACTTCCAAATATGGAACTATAAGCCTTATGTAATTGAAGTTGATAAGACTTTCTAGAACTGGAAATGTTTTCTTTGCAATTGAATAAGGTTGGAACTTAATACCATTATTAAAAATAAAATAATTTCATTATAATTGAAATAAATTTCATTTTTATAATACTAAAAAGTAATAAAACAGGATTAATAAATAAAAATAAATAACGTTTATTATAAATTTAATTTAGTACCCTTCTGAATTCATATATAAATAATGAGGCAAGAACTATCAAATAACATTCTTAATTGACATTTATACATGAACTACAGTACATACCCCTACGACTATATTATAAATTATTTGGCATAATTCTTTACAACATAAAAAAAATATATATATAATAATATTAACATTGATGATTTGTATAAATAATTTGCATCTATTGTTAAAATTTTTACAGGCGTCTATATTAATATACAGCTTTAGTATCATTCTAACATAAAATAAATATCAAACTGTTACTCCAACTTCACCTAAAATATCGGACAGTCTTTGTAAATACTTTTGCGCTACACTCGGGTCTTCTTGATCATTATAGGTGCGATTAATCAGCTGTAAGGCATTAATGTATTCCAACTCTGAAAATTCAGGTCCTTTTTCAAGAACCTGATTTAATATGTCTTCTTGAGTCATAAAAAAAAGCTGAAAGTATCTCCTAGCGTGATCTAAGGCTACTTCTCTAGTCATCGTTATGTTACTAAGAGTCTGTTGCAAAGTAAAAATGTTTCTACACATTTTATGTATTGCACTTTCATCAATTTTCTCCAAATATTGAGCAGAACTCATTAATATTTTAGCGATTAAATGACCAAGGCCTTCAAAAATATACTTACATTTTCGAGGCTGCAAGCTCGGCGATAGAGCTTCATCGACAGATACTAAAACTCTACTAAGATCTAGCACTCGAGGATCGGGATCGTGAGAATTGTCTTTGGTCTTTCCCGATACAAAACCTCTTGGAAGCAGGTAATGAAAACATTGAACTCTTATTTCAAGATGGAGAACTAATAAACAAGTACTTGCAAGGTCTTCGAATTCTTCTGAAAGGTTACTTAAAAGGCTTAAGTATTTATTCAAATTATTGGGTTCATTTTGACTTTCATGGATTCTTTTTTTAATATTTACATTAATTTGAAGAACTCTAAAGGCAAACCATTCCATGCTTTCTTGTAATTGAGCAAGGCACTTAAGCTGTGAGGGATCAGATATTATTTCATGAGGACCAATCCCACCTTCACCAAGGTTACTGGCTAATATTTCGGCTTCTTTAATATTTCTTTGCCGAACATCTTCAGGACTTTCTTCTTCGGTTGTATCTTCTCTCTTCAATGGCCGCGCAGAATGGTAGAATGACTTTTGAGCTTGCAGGTCAATCCAGTTTGGTAACGATTTTAAAAACCTACTAATATCTTCGTCTTTTAACCATGCGGCACTGCAAAGCCTTTTATCTTCAGGTTCTGGTTGTATGATGCCTCGATAGGCAGCAGAGCAAGTTTCGACAAAGTTTTTGATAAGATTTACTAATATTTCTAAAACTTCAATTTTATGTCTGGGTAGGGAATCCAGTAGTGTTTCAAGTTCTTTCAAAGCATTGCTGACTTGATATGTACTTTGAAGTATGGGTTTCAGTAGTCCAACTTGAGAGACTTCATTTGGTGTAATAGGTGCTCGCCAAGCATTTGTCGACTTTGTAGCAGTTTCTATTTTCATAGATATACGAGTATGTTCTCTTCCTATAAACGCATCTTTAACATAATCATTCACAAAAGTGTTTAGTGTACAAGATTTGCCAGAAGGAAGCGATAATGACGATTCAATCTCTTCAATAAATTTTTGAAGGGTTTTATATACTATAGTTATATTAAATGGTTCTGGTGGACAAATCAATACTTTTCCACGCTGTTTATTTTCAGAGAGTGCTACCGCAGCTTGCTGCTCTTTTGAGAGAAAATTGACGTTAGATGAGTATTCAAATTTAAATAACGGAAATTTCCTAGGCCTTTGAATTCTTCTACGAGCGAAAAAGGTAGAAATGTCTGCTGCCTGGTCTGGATAACCAGGAGTCGGTGTAGGGTCATTAGCTGTATTCTGTATATCTAAATAATCTGTCAACAGGAGTTGTAAAACATTTTGAATAGTATTCCAAATATCAGAACCATTAACTGGTGATAAAGTCACCTGACATTTTTTTGATACTTCTCCAAAAGCATTCAGTAAAGATTTAAATCGAACAGCAATTTTTCTCAATTGATCAATCAACATCTCAAGGAGCTTTATCAGAGGGTGATTGTTCCCACTATTGGCCGCTACAGCTTTTGATACCAGATTAACAACATTCAAGATTTCATCTTGCATTTTGCTCTTTATGCTTTCAATAGATTCATTAAGCTTGTTGAGTAAACCAAGACATTCAACTAACATCCTTAACTCAATGTCGTAACTAACGCTGGAAGATTTTTCAAAGGAATTGGAGATACTGGATGAATCCAGTATTTTCTGCCTCCATCTAAACTTTTCTCTAGTTATAATCTGATTATTCGAAGAACAGTCCAATGTTTTCACTGGCTCAAGGTAAACTATGTTGGAAATTTCCCAAAGCAACATTTCATGTAATTTTTCTTTTTTAACTTGCAATTCAGTCTTCAGTTCGTTAAGAGCTTCTACACCTTCTAAATCACCATCACCAGCATTAAGTGCCAATACTAAAATTTTAGTACCATTAAGGTAATCTTTATTAGCCAAAAAATGAGCTAACTTAGAGGGAACTTCTTTTAATTCTTCAATTTCATTAAGTAATTGCAAAACATGTTTGTGTTCTACCCCTTCAAACCACAACTTTTTCAGCTCATCTCTTCTACAACTTAACAACGTTTTACAAGCAATTAACATTTCTTTAATACAGCGAAGCTTATCTCTGGTATTCGTAATCATAGTAGACATTTGAATGAATAGTTGCATCACCTGCTCTAAATCTTGCTTATGAATGCTAACTAATTCATTGAGCCTTTGATCACATTTTTTGTATTCTCGTTCGAGCTTTGCTCTTTCGAGATCTCTTTGCTCATTTGATTCACTTGTGGATAAGGTACGAATAACAGCCATCAACAAACCACTTGTTTCTTTTGAATTCTTGACCCCCCGAGGAGGTTTTGTAGGCGAAGTTATATCCATTTTTGAAAGTTATTTTTCACTACTTAAATTATGACATGTGCCTTATATACAACATTTATTTAATGCTTCTTTTCCATCTAGTTAACGAAATAATACTCTCATTTTTCTTTCCATTCACATCACTCCACTTTGGTTCATAATATTTCATGGAATAAAAATAATTAACTTCACAAAACATTGTAATACTTAATCATTTAAGTACATTTACAACTTATTGCTACTTATAAACATAAAAACTGAAGCATTAATGAGTCTTTCCAGTTAATTATTCACTTGAAGACATGACACAGTCTAATGATATTCAGGATTAACCTCATTATGCAGTCAGACGTGGACTTATCCTGTTCGAAAATTTTGAAGTGCACATTTACTAAAATACTTCATAAAAAATAATTAATAAGTCAAGCGTAAGAAAGATTGAATGTAATTAACCGACTGTAAAAAATAAATTGTTAGGGGAGTAAACCTTACTGAACCTGCCTTATCACAGGTTATTTTATTTTGATTTATTTCGAGTGAATAGATCGATTTTTCAAACTAATATTAATTATTAAATGCAAATAATATGCACATTACTATGGTATCATTGCGAATAAAATCAATAAAAATTGTTCGTTTGAGTTTTTAGTAACATTTTATATTTTAAAATCACTTTTAAACAATAATATGTGCTCAGCCAGTACTTTAGTTCTGATAAGGAAAATCATTAAGAAATCCTTTGTCACAAAATCTTTTGATACAAACAGGAAGATAAATTTATATTATAATATATGTCTTTATCTTATATGGAAAGGATAAATATAAAGTGACATGTTGAACTTTAGGTTGGCTGTACTTTTTTGTGTAAGTCTTCAATATTCCGATTGTGACTGTTACTGACTGTTGTTTAGTGGGGTTTTGGAGCCGTGTTTTAAGTTTTATTTTTATTTTTTTTTGTCAGTGTTTGGCTGCTGTTGTAATGTGAACCCATTCCCTCTTCGCTAAAGGACAGTTTTTATTTCAGCATGTCTGATCTTTTTAAATCAGCATTTGGTTACTTTAGTAGCAATACTTCAACTACAATAAACAATGAATTGGTTGGACAGATTGTGGAAGTTGGAAACATTAAATTAAAAGTCAAAAGAGTTGTGGCTGAAGGTATATAACTTTCTAGCTTTATTGAAATGTTTTATTCATTGTTGAAATCTGTTTGTATTTCTTGTTCTGCTATTTAAGGTGGATATGCTGTGGTCTTTGTTGCTCAAGCAGTAGACACAGGAAAAGAATTTGCTCTCAAGGTTGTCTTTATTTCCTAGTTTCATCCTGTTTCGGTTTGATAGTTGTTGATTATTTATTTTTCTCTTTCAGAGGCTATTAGCAGCAGACGATGAAGCTACTCAAGCAATTATTAAAGAAATTAACATTCTTGTATCCTTTACATTATATCTTGTTCTACCCTAAAATGTGTGCATAATGTTACCACTTTCAAAAACAAAAGGAAACAGAACATCACACTTTTTAATACTATACTTGTGGCATTTAGCTCAATTTTGTCATTAAAAGAAAAATATAAAAGTATGATGTGACTCTTAGTTTATAGAAAAAAAACTAATGAAAAATGATAAAGTTTGATTAATTCTCAGAACTTTTGACAGATTAATTTTTGAGACGGTGTACAAAGGATATATGTGATAAGCCCTTATTACATGTAGTGCATTTTCTGGGCAGACTATAAAGTATGTTTCTTTATGGTTTAAGTCATTGAGGTATTGATTAAACTTTTTAATTAATTTTTTGACCCCCATAATTTAGCAGAAATCTGTCATTGTTTAGTATTTGCCGTAGCTGGTTTAGCTAAACAACAAAATTGGCACAGTTTCACATTCCTGAGTCTAATTTAAAGTTTCCTCTGTATTGAAGTAAGTGCTGTTGATAATAATGTTTCAGATATCAAGATTTGTTAATTTTACTTTTCTCCTATTATCAGCTATGAGTTTTATATTCAATGATTCTTATTTCATATGTTATGTTCTCCATTAGTTCTAAAGATGAGTTCAATGAGTTGGGGGTTTTAATTAAGAAAATTAAGCTACTTTGTAACTGAGATTGAATATTATTTGTTTTCCTAAGATACTCTTTTATTGTCAATAAAATTAATTTTCTGATTTGATTTTTGTAACTTGAATACCTTTAATTACTCAATTATATAAAATTGAACTTTTTGTATATTATTTACTTGTTATTTGCACAAATGTGTGGTGACTAATGTATTTTGTAGACATCATTAAAATTTTTAAGGAAGCACAAATTTCTCATGTTTTTGAAACATGATATTTATTCAGTGCCGCCCTAATGTTTCAAATGATAAAATATGAGAACTTCACTTCTTGAAGTTAAAGATATCAATAGCTCAGAATCAGTTTTCAATTTATTTACAAATTATTGATTGTTCTGATTAGTGAAAAAAGTGAATTAATTTGATAATGTGTTCTCTTTTAATAAATACCATAAACTCTTTCATTTAAAGGAAATCATTTGAGTTCCTGGCATTATATCCGTGCATTGATGATGTACAGTAATATTTTGTGAGCACGAAAATAATTTTGAATTGCAACCAGTAGATAATGAAATCTCAATCTGTATTTTTGATGGCTACTGCTGTAGGCAATCTTGATTTTAGTCTTTCAATTTATTTTATTACTAGTCTTTGATCCAATTGAAATCCTTGCATAATATTAAATTTTATCTTTAATTGAATATTTAGAATTATTCGTGTTGTTTGTTATTATTTTATCCTTAACTAATTATTTCAAATTAGAAAAAGCTCTCAGGACATCCTAACATTATTCAATTTGTCGCTGCTGCGTTCATTGACAAATCACAGTCTAGTCATGGGATGTCAGAATACTTGCTTCTTACAGAGCTTTGCACAGGTTCGAATAATTCATAATTTACTTGTTAACACTTCACATGTTAAGTTTTCATGGTTTTATTTTTATTTTTTTAAATTTTTATAGGAGGTACATTGGTTGAGTTACTGCAAAAGAGAGGATCTGCAGGATTGCCTCCTGAAGTTATTACGAGAATTATGTGGCAAACATGTAAAGCTATTCACCATATGCACCTGCAGAACCCACCTATTTTCCATAGAGACATAAAGGTGTGGAAATGATTAATTATCATATTTTGAATTAATTATGTAATGCATATTTACTTGAAGTTTTTTTTTTAATTTTAAAAAATAAAAGCAATCCTCGGAAACTGGATTGGTAGTTACGAGACTCGAGAGTACTAGTTTCTGCCCCAAGATGTTTATACATTACAAAGATCTTTGTTTTTATTAAAATCCAATTTTGCATTATGTTGCTTATGTTCTTTAGTAACAATATGGTTCCAAACTTAAAGACTAAAGGTCTACTTAGATATAGAGATAAAAATGCCCAATAACACTGCAGATTAACATGCTGAGGTATGAAAGTAATTATAGCCCTTGTCATTAAAATAGAAACTCCGGGCCCTCAATACGCAGAAAAAAACCTATTGGTCTGAGGCCTTCTTTTCTATCCTTGCAAAGCCTTTATTACCACAGTGCTAATATAAACCAAATTATTAATCGGCTATTGTCTAATACCACATTCTTTATCACTCAAGTGTTTATCATTATTGTTCAACTAATTAAGATCCATAAACTTTTTTGGAGGATATTGGAAATAATTAATTAGGATTTTGAAATGTAAAATTAAAAGTTGATTGGAACAATGTGTTTATTTAAAACATATTTTAACATTCTGGCTAACGTTTTAACATCTGGCTTATAATTTATCACAATGAAGAATTGAATGGAATTGTTCCGTTAAAAGCACTGTTCTGTTAAGAGAGTTGGAATCGTCCTGATTCTTTAATTAGAAATAAAATTGTTCATATTATTATTATAAATAATATATATTAGCATTATAAACTCACTTATAATTGAATTACACAAAATTCAACAGTAAGTTGATATTAAAATTAAACAGAATACATATAAACATATTTTCTAAAAAAAAAAGGATATCAAGTCAGTAACTTAGTGTGGTAATGAGGGTTGAGATAAGAGTTGAATTGTTAAGTAGAATTTTCTATTCTTTTACGAGATCGTTAATATTTGTTCATTGTTAAGGCCCTTATGCAATGCCATCATGAATTCATGTTTTATTTATTATCATTATTTTATAGAAATAGGACACCATTATCAATTCCATAATTATCTCAAGTTGATATTGTCTATATTGAATAGATGATCTTCAAGGAAATATTTATAAATAAATTTTATTATGTTATAGTCACAGACATTTAAAAAAATATATTTTATTATGTCAATAAGTGAATTTAATTTTAAAAATATTAACTAAAAATATTTAGTATTTTTGTTCATCCTAGTACTATCACGTTTTTGAATTGTATGGTCACACACAATTATTTTATTTCATAGATTGAAAATCTTTTGCTTACCAGTGAAGGGAGAATTAAACTTTGTGATTTTGGAAGTGCTACATGTAATGTAGTCAAGCCGGATCACACTTGGAGTGCTCAGCAGCGATCTCTTATACAAGACCAGGTATATAAGTCTTTATATTTTTTAATAGTATTTCTTGAAAAATGATATATTTTTATTGTAATAATAGCCTTCTTGCAAGTTTTAAACTTGTATTTTCAAGTCACCTATTAAGTTGATGATGAGCTGCGATCTGCGAAGTTAACACTTTACCCGAACTTAGTGACATTTGCCCAACTAGAGATTTAACCATTCAGTTAAATTCTGGCTCACATATTTTTAACTAATACCTCTTTAATGTTTCTATTGATTATGCATATAATTTGCTCGTTTGTGATTGCATTTTCCCGATTCAATTAATTAAGCAGGACTAAATGAAATAAAGTTAAGCATTCTTGAATTTACTTACTGCCATTGTTTTTTTGTTTTTTTTTTTTAAATTATTATTATTATTATTTGTATCTATATGTGAGTTTGTAATCCTAAAATCTCTGCTATTTGTTTTACTTAGTTGTGTTCTGCATAGTAAACTTTCTTTGGTATACATGTATTTTTATTTATTTATGGTATTTATAAAATAATAATATTTATATATGAATAGTAAAAATATTTGGAATGTATAAAAGGTGGAAATATTTGAAATAGTAGAAGTATTTACGATGTTTGTTATATAAAAATATTTTTGTTTTTGTGTTCTTATACTATACTTATTTTCTTCTACTTATAAAACTAATCCCTACTTACACTAAATTACTACTTACACTCATACTAGACTGAAACGACAAAAAACTGCTCGATGTTTCCGATTACTTCAGCACTTACTAGACAAACGCTCTAAACTTCCAATTAATTACAAAAGACTCATATACTTGACTATAATAAGACCTATTTGGACTTACGGAGTTGAGCTATAGGGCTCCACTAAACCATTGAATTCCTCTCGCATCGAATCCTTACAATCCAAAATCCTTCGTAAAATCCTCAATGCTCCTTACTTTGTCACTAATAAAATTATCCATATAATTCGATCATAATGTTCTTACGTTCCAGATCAGGCATGATACTTAGAACTCTACATTATCGTCTGCCATTTTGTTTCAAAATTACTGCCGATTAGAAGTTTCATACACTCATATGCTTCCTCTTTTGTTTATACCAAGGTCACGTGCCAGATCAGGATGATACTTAGAACTCTACATTATCGTCTGCCATTTTGTTTCAAAATTACTGCCGATTAGAAGTTTCATACACTCATATCTTGGCTGTTTGTGAAGACAGGAGAAAAATATATATTGTTTTGGAATCATTACAATAAACTTTAAATGTTATTTTCGTTTATCATTGTATTTTTTTGAAAATATTAATCAGAAAATATTAACATTAATCAGGATTTTTTTTTAAAACTCTTTCAATTACCTAAATTATTAGACTACATGATGATATACTTAGATTAGGGTACAATAATTAAGAATTCATTGTAACAATATATGACCCACATCCAGGATTGTTCACTTCTAAGTATTAAGGTTCCCAGTTTAATGACTTGTTTAGGATACATACAAGAGAGTTGGAAGTCGCCAATTTAATTCTCTAATGATTTAAGGCTCATTCCTTGACTATGTGACTCCTCTGAATCATTAATCTCATTTTATTGTCACTCTTTCATTCATGATGAGTTGTAATTTATCCAGTTCTGATTCGAACTTAAAAGATTGATATATAACTGGGTGTAATTTGAACAGTTTTTGAATATTGTATTTTAAATATTATAAACTGTGCCTTATTGATCCTCATATTCGGATTCTTTCTTTTTCAGATTTCGAGGTGTACGACTCCAATGTACCGAGCACCTGAAATGTTGGATACTTGGGACAACCGTGAGGTTGGGCCTGGAGCGGATTCTTGGGCGATCGGTTGTCTCCTCTGCCTTCTGGCCTATTTGAGGCATCCATTTGAGGATTCGTCCACTCTTCGTATCATCAATGCTAATTATTCACTTCCTCCTGGCGATTCTCAATATAAGCCGTTTCATTCGATTATCGGTAATTATTTTTTGGATGTAAAACAGAATTTTTTTTTTTTATGTGGTATACCGTGTTATATAACTGTTTTAAGAGAAAATTTGAAACTGAAATCTGATTATTTTTCAGATGGTTGCCTAGTTGCAGAACCGGAAAAGCGACTCACTTTACCTCAAATTTTGGATAGGCTTGCCTCTATAGCAGAAACGCTAGGAATCAATCCCAATGAGCCAATACCATTAGAAAAATTAGTTATTGCAACAAGTGAGTTCTTTAATGAGATCATTTTCTTTAAACTGTTTAAAAAAACAAAAATACCAGATACTGTAATGGCATATCCATCTAGAGCAGGAGTCCCCAGCGTAGACCAGTGTGCCTGTTCGACGTCATTCCTGCTCGCCTATGTCTAACATAACCTTTTCCGCCGACCACTATGACAAGTTGTATTGTCTCTCTCTGCATATCGACAAGTTTTCAATAAAATAACTATACATATTTTAATAAATATTATATAATCCATTGTAAGTACGAGTGGTGGATTACTTTGAAAATAGTAATTTAATAATATACCATTCTCTGTTTTTTTAAAAATTATTATTATTGTTTTATGTGGCAGTTGCAGAGAGATGGAGTTTTCAATGTAATGTTTTACTATTTTTTTTAAAGGTGATATAAATATAAAATTCATCGAGTTATAAGTGAATTATTTGAACATAATAATTCATTCCTTCGATATCATAACATCACTATTGTTTTGTTTAATTTCATTATTTGGCGGTAAAAAAAAAAAAATCAATGGCTGTTGGTAACACTGCTAGATTTGACAATTATAACGGTGTTTGTTATGATACGTATTTATTTCGTATTAATGATATCCTTTACATTTTCTTTTTAAGTACTATAAACAGTGACTTGCAATTCATATTCACTATTTGCACTATAAAAAAAAAAATAAATAATAAAAAACACTGGTGCCTGCCACCTAACACATAACCTATAAATGTCCCATTTGAAAAAGGTTGGAGGCTCCTTATCTACGGTACTTTAACTCATGGACCAAAACAGTTCACTGTGAAATTTATTTTATAAAGACTATTCTTAATTAGTTTTGAAAACAAGATCAGATGCGATTAGGAATATTTAAATTTTTTAGTTTTTGTATTATTTTCTCTACTCAATTAATCTTTTTCAGGTTCGAGCCTGGACGGTGCGAAAGAACAACCAGCCGCTCCTAGTCCAGTCCATTCTGCAGTTAGTAATAGCCCTCGCTCTCATAGTCCCTCACATATTCCTCCAAGGTGAATACTTCTTTAATATCTCAATCGCTTATTGTTATAAAAAAGTTTAATGTTTCACCAACTGCAACTTGTTTCACCAACAATGTTAGATAGATAGATAGAAAAATAACTTTATTCTGGGACACGGTCCCTTGAGAATAACAAAATAGAACATAATTAAAAGATTACATCTGGCCAAAATAAAATCAATCGAAAAAAAGAAATAATGTAAAAAAAATATAAGGTAAACATTCTATATACAAAACAAATGAAACTATATACAAAACAATTAATACTATTTTATATTATTTCATTAAATCATTCCATGTTTCAATGGACATGCCATTCTCACGTATGTTCTACAATTATCTTTATAATTAGTTTAAATACATTAATACTTTATAAGATGTGTTCAACCTTACAAATCTTTAATATAATCATAAATCTTTTCTAAATTGTGTCAGTTACTGAAGTGCATTTACGGCACAAGTCCTTTAATTTATAATATCATTATAGGAAAACTACAGTTAAAATATCACCCCTCCGAAATGTGACCTCTGATTTTTTTTTCTTTTTCAGGTCATGTCAGTAAAAATTAAAATCGTATAGAGGTCATCAAGATAAAACTTTTTTTGTTAAAAATAACCTTGAACTCAATTCGGTTTTCCCTATATGTTTTTTTCAGCAAACTTTGAGTGATATTCTTCTTTTTTGCTGGGAAGCTGAATAATATTCTCTAATTTCAGCAATAAATACTTCCAGGTATTCAAACGATTGGTTTATTTGTTGATATACATTTTAAGTTGACGTTTCAGAAAAATTATTCCCATCTTCAAAACTTAAAGTCCCACACTTTCATAGCGATTTATGGCTGAAGTCTGATTTGCTCCTTTACCATGATTTGTTATAAATTTTTAATGATGTAGAGAAAAATTAAAAATACTATTTTTTAAAAATTTAGTTTTTTTTTACCGCACCCCTCTCCCCACCCCCGACCAACTCCTCATGTTATAAATATAAATATAAATTATCTGGAGCATCAACATTCCTAGGACTAATAATTTGGTATCTGCTATGGAGGATACTATAGTAATATTCTCCATAGTGGATAGCCATAAATCGCTATGAAAGTATTCTATTTTAAATTTTGAAAATAGGAATCATTTTCCCGAAACGTCAACTCAAGAAATAAACCAAGTGTTTGTATACCTCAAAGTGTTCATTGCCGAAATTAGAGAATGTAAGTGATGTTTTTTTAGCTGCAGTTATTGTGTAGCTTTACAATATTCTAATTCCACATGACTGGAAAATCTTGGGGGCCTTCTGTTACTAATGTTGCTCAGTTTTTTTTTACTTAAATTCAATAAGTCTTTAATCCTTCTCATTGAAGGAGTGTGGTTCAACTCATGAGGGATTGGTTTAAGTTTCATTACAACTCTTCTTTTAAGTTGATAATGATTTAGTTTTTCATTTTAGTTCTTATGATTGTTCAAGTTCCACATAGTCATTATATGTGCGACATACCAAAAAAAAATATAAAGATTCTATTAGTATGAAAAAAATTTTTAATTTAATTGATGAATATAAAAGTAAATTTAAAATAACCATTGATTTGTTTACAGGACTAAATGTAGTCACTAAAGGCGTTAAAATAAACACAAATATGTTAATCTGCAGGCTAAATTGAAAATTATAATTTTAAATATTTATACAACTTTGCAGTATTAAGTATGGTTTAGTTTCTGAACATATATTATTTATTTTATAAAATCATCAAACGTTGCCCAAAAGCAGCTTTATTTAATTTTCAATGTTTCTTAATTAATATTTAAAAAACCTATGATTTTTGGAATTATATGCTACAAATATACAATCTCTAAATTTATTTAAAAAAAAAATAAATAAATGGTTCTGATGTTACAATCAAAACAGAAAATATAGTTTTTCATGTTTTTAAAAAAAATGACAATGAAGATTAAAATTCACTTTTGAAATAAACGATTCGATGTAAATGAGTTATATTTTATGTATATAGCTTATGTACATAACTTATGAATAATTTCATAAAATTTGTTATTGGGATCCCGAGACGCTCCCGTGTCTCCCATCATTACACTGAATTACGGTGGCTCTTCCCCTCCTTGAGAAGACAATTTTTCCTAGGCACATTCCTTTATCAAATCATTTTGTTTGTTTTTTTAATTTGATTTATTGTTTCAAATTTTTAGGCCAGAAAGAATTAGTCTTTTATTTTGTACAATTTTGTTATTCTAAAGGGACTTTGTCGCAGAATAAAGTTGTTTTTCTATCTATCTCTCTATATTTAGGAAATTAATTTCAAACAGTAGTTTTATGACTAATGTTAAAGTGTCATAGGCATGAATTATTTTTTTAAAAATTTTATAAATATATATACATGTATGTATTATGTATATTTATGAAAGTTTTTATTATATTATAATATTTTGTTTAGTCGCCCTGCTCCTCCTCCTCATGTAGCCCCACCAAGCAATGCCACCAATAGCGGTGGAGGGCTTTTTTCCCAAATAAGAGGAGGTGCTGGAAGTTTTCTGAAAAATCTGCGAGATACCTCATCTAAAGTGGTTCAGTCCGTACAGCAGTAAGTATAACTTTTTTTCTAAATGCTAATGCTTTTGTATACGTTCTTAACATGATGCATCTGTTGAAACATATGTATAGTTTGTGTATTAGTGAAGTCTAAATCCAAACCAGCATTCTAATAATGCAAGATCGTAGCTTGAAGTACAGGCAATTTTTTTATTGAATTACTTTCAAGAACTTGCGGAAAATATACTTTCTGACCTATTAAAAAAAAGGCTTATTTTAAAAAATTAGTATCTTTTCACGGCTAGAATTACAACAATCATTCTAATTGAGGTGTAAGATATAATTACCACGTATGTAAATATAACACTGGAATTCTTCTATTGATGATTGTGGCTTAAGTTATTAATATAGTTACCATTAAACCTGTTCATTGGCACCATTTTTTTTTTTTCTCCAGCTGGCAAAGATTTTCAACTCACATCAATACACAAGTTTCATGTAATAGTGTTGAATATATCGTTTTTTTTGTGCTTATAAATTATGATTTGTGCACTAGCAATTAATTTTCTATTACCGTTTAAAGAAAACTGTTGCAGAATCGTATTGAATGCTTGTCGAAGCTTATGGTGAGGTTCCTCTTAGTGATTTAAAAAATTCAAAAGTTGTGATTTTGACGTGAAAAATAAAGCTTGGGTGTGATCCATTATGAGCTGTTAAGATCTGGAAAAATTGTTATACTAAATATGCTATGGACAATAAAGAATATATTTGAATTAAATATTGTGTGAATAATGAACGGAATATCAATAAAGAAGAAAAAAAATAATTTTGGTTTTTTATAATCAACCATCACACTCAGGCAAACCAGTAAAAAAACGATAGAGACATGCATTTGGGAAATATTGGCGCATGTGGCTTATTCACCAGACTTGTCTCCTTCCGACTACTATTTATTTACATCGATGTGGCACGCACTTGTTCAGCAGCACTTCACTTCTTATAAAAATGTACACAAAAGAACAACATTTTTTCTGGCATGGCATTCATAAATTGCTAGAGATGTGAAGATTTTTTTTTTATTATTTGTTTATCGATAAATATTACAATCTTTCTCAATAAAGGACATTTATAATAGAGTTCTGAGAGCAAATTCACACCATATTTACAAATTAAAAAAAAAATAATAAAAAAAAATAAATAAGCTAATTTCAAATAATATAAAGCTATAAAAGAACAAAATAAATTATCATAGTGAAGGAAGAAAATATAAATAATAGTAATATAGAATAAAAATAAATGAATAAAATAGAATTAAAACTATCTTTAAAAAAAAAAAAAAAAAAGTAATGAAAATAAACATCTTAGATGCAGGCATACCTATTTACACTATTTACAGTCGGCCATGGGAACTCTGAACCATACTTATCCACCCACATGTGGAGGGAAAGCGAGGCTTCAGGAGATCCCTGCACTTCTTCTTCAATCTATTCACTGGTATTAAAAGCCAGCGGAGATTGAGTAAGGGTAGATGTGAAGATATTTATGTACATTTTCATGCAATAGCCATTTGTTTGTGTGTTGTATATATACATTTTATTTTCATTTTTACTCAACTGTAAAAGATCTTTTCTTAATTGTGTACATTGATTCAAATTTTCATTATGATTCTTTTTCTTTAATTTTAGTAACCCAAGCTCATTGACATTAAGATTAAAAAAATTGATAAAAATACTAAAAGTTAAATACATAAAGGTTTTAACATGGTAACGGACGGTAGGAAGTAAATTTATTAAGAAGGAAAGCAACAATATAATTTTAAGTTTTCGTTCTTTGACAATAACAGTAATATTTTCCCCTTCTAGGACGATGGTGAGGGGTGAAGAGATGGCAGCTAGCTATATTACATCTCGCCTTTGTGTGGTCAACTATACCGATGGCCCTGATACCCTCCATGACTTGAGGTACACCATTGAATCTCGACATCCGTTACCTGGTGCTGCCATCTACAATTTGACCCAATCTACCTTTCCATTGAATAGGTTTCCAAATGCAACGGTAAGATATATTAGATCTGACTAAAAAAAATATATAATAATTTTGCATTAACGTCCAAGAAAATGTGGCGAAACTATTTTGTTACACCTCATTTTTATAGTTTTGGGAAAGTCTATTTCAGTATTTGGCACTGGTACATTTTTTTAAGAAAGCTTATATAGTATCTAATAATCGTTTAATTGATATGAAGCAAATCTAATTAAGATGAAAAAAAAAGTGCTAAGTAGAGTCAGTATAACTTATTCACTATTTCCACTGGGTATATAATTACATTTATTTCGAGTTCTATAATTTTTCATTTGGGAATAAAATCTAAAGAACCCATTTTTTAAATATTTCTTTAGTATATTTTTTCTGTATGTGCAGGTTCATGTGTGGTTGTCTCTGTGTCACCTTATTTTGATGGTTGTTTTGATCACGTTACAATATGGTATATTCGATATTTTGATGTAGAATGAAACTGCTTAATTTAAATGTAAACCTGTGGACGATAAAGAGAAACGATAATTGCCCAGTGTTTAATTTCTGAGAAAAAGAAGATACTATTCACTTATTTTGGGCCTGTCATATCTATAGTGATATAAGAAAAAATATTTTCATCTGCAGACCTTATCTTCTGCAGAATTATTTAATTTATTAAAAGGATGGAAAGCACCAAGATATTCTATTGAGCCAACCGCATTAAGAAATACTCAATTAATAAGTTTGTGTATGATTAGTAGAACTTCTTATTTGTTTATTATGGATAATAGTTGTTTGTTATTGTCATATTATCTATAATTCGTTATAGAATATCCTGAATACAGTTGTTTAATTTATTTTGAAAAATATCCTAACTAAAACTTGACCAGAACAATGGGACACAATAATAATAGCTGCTTATTTGGGTGTAATTTTATCTCTAACCGCAGAGATCAATAGTCACTTAATACCTTTATAAACTCTGTTCTGAACCTAGTGTTAAATTCATATGACAAGAAGGATGAAATTGACAGCAGTAATTATTCAATTTTTCTAAAAAGATTATTAATCAACTTTATCTACTCAACTTAGATTAATTAATTAACACTTATACATAGTTTTGTGTGTAAATATGTTTTATTTGGTATAATGATATATGTTTTTTCTATGTTGTATTATTAGGGAGTGGTGGTCATAAATAGACTAAATAGTGGCAAAACTATTTTATTAAAAGCCAACATTTCGACCCGTTATAAATAAATATAAACAGGGTAAGCTAAGTAACAAGATCCTAAACTGAAGTAAATAGATGGTAACCATTGTAGTATAATATATAAAATTGTATATATTATACTACAACAATTGTTACCATCTATTTATTTCAGTTTAGGATCTTGTTACTTAGATTACTCTGTTTATATTTTATGCTTATTCACATTGTTTATCATTTTTTGTCTAAATATTATATAAGTTCCACAATTCCCTATATCTTTTTGTATCTTGTCTGTTCTAGCTAGCCCTGAAGAAGACCTGCAAAGTCGAGTCGAAATGTTAGTTTTTAATATAATAGTTGTGCCACTATTTAGTCTATTAATGACCGCCACTCTGTACCATCTCCTTCCTTAGTAAACTAATATTCTTTGGTCAATACCTCAATAGGTTTAAAATCATTCTAAATTTATATCGGTGTTTCTACTATTTTCTTAATATTTTAGACTGATAAGATAGAATTAATTTATTGTTGCAATATTTATTTATATAGATAATGACTAAAATTTTTTCATTCACCAATGTTTCAGCTCTTTAATTTTTTTATTCCTTTTTTTCAAGATTTTAAAATTATAATTATAATTATAAAGCTAATTTGCCTATATCACATTTTTTAAATATAATATTCTTGAAATAGTGTTCAGCTCTTAAAAGTTTTTCAGTATGATATATTAATAATTTAAATTAAATAAAAAAAAAAGTAGCATTGGTAAATTAGCCCAAATGTTTTCAATTTTAAAATTAGGCGTGTTCCTCTTGAAAATGTCTTAAAGAGGTGAAGTTTTACTGAAAGAAAAAAGAAATTAGTAGGAAATGTGTTGTTTTATTATTAGTAATAAAATGAACTGTTAACCAATCAGTTATATTAAAATAAATAATGACTTAAATATTTTTAAGGCTGGTCCATATGAGCAAGTAAGCCATCAGGTAAGACTTTGCATGAATTGTTGGAACTGAAGCCTATCCACAAAGATCAGCTTTTTTCACTACTCAGCCGAGTCACCAATTTGTCCTTTGTTAATTAATTATTTATTTATTTTATTTATGGGTAATAGCTGACAATGTGTTAAGTGTCGTTATCCTGGTTGTTTCTTGATTTTGCTTGGAAGTTCTTGATGGTTTAGGGCGGGGTCTCCATATTTTTTTGTCCTGTGGGCTGCATTGAGAACTCAACTAGTCTCACGAGTCATGGTTTGTGATGAAAAGAAAAATCTTGTTCAATAAATAACACTTCAATTGTAAAATAAATACGTTTCATATTAGAAACAACTCATACAATAATTGTTATAGCTCACGTTTGAGTGGTTTATTAAGTCTCATAGTTTTTAAAAATTTTTTTTAGGTATAGGATGTAAAGAGTTTTAACACTTCAACGACCAAGCCATCCGAGTGAATCTTTCTCTGTTAAGCAATTTTTTTTTTCTCTCGAAAGATGTAGTATACTGTTAAAGAAAGTATAATGCATTTTTAAGTGTTAAAAATAATTCAATTGCGATAAGTTAAAAAAAAAATGGATCGGGCGTATATCCCTGTTATTGTCCATCGAGATATTACAGAATATTAATTTAATTCCTGATCCCTATTTTTATTCCTGCTAGTTATTTTTCACTTGTTAATAATAATATTTTGATTATTTTCTGAAATGTAAAAAAAAAAAATTATTACAAAATAATATGTTTGCTTAGACATGGTATACAACCACTGCTAATTTACGTTTATATTATGCGAATATGTGTTTTTATCTTTGTAGGTATACTGTACTGTAAAACTTGCACATGTTTCCTGTCCATAAACATCACATGCAATCGTACAAGGAAATAATTAGATAAGTTGTGTGTGGATCGGTGTTTAATATACCTGCACTTCAAAGCATTATTTTTCACTTTTAATTTATTCTTAATTATTTTTTATCCACTGTTTTATCTGTAAATCTCTCTCTCTCTCTCTCTCTATATATATATATATATATATATATATATATATATATATGATTTCATTAAACTATTGAACTTTTAAGTGATGTCACTAATAATTTGATTAACTTTTCTTTCAGATTGTTGAGTGTGGTTGGGGTAAGAAGTGCCCCTCGCTCCAGGCTTTGTACACCCTCTGTGAGCACATGTACCATTTTTTATCTAGTCAGCCTTCTAATGTATGCTTCATTGTGTGTAACGTAAGTTTCTCTTTCAGTTATATTATTTGTTAATCATTAATAATATGTTATTTTAAATGTTTTTTATGTCATTATTGTGTAAGATGTGCCATTTCCATAGTTGATCAATACCCCGTAGATCTTTTGAACCTCAAATACCATACAGTCGACTCTCGATAATTCGAATTTTTTGACAATTCAAACTCTTCAGCTGTTAACTCTTCGGTATATCGAAAAAATGATATATTTTTATAGCTCAATAATTAGAACTAGACCACTTTATCTCTTTATATTTTGAAATTTTCCTAGTAATATTTTTTACGTGAGGCTATTTATATATAAAATTTATGTAAGCTCATATGTATATTTTCAAAATATATTAATAACTTTTAATAATTAAATTTTTTTTTCTTTTCTCTTGATAATTCAAACTTCTTGATAAGTTGAAGTCTCAAGAATCAGATTTTTTTTTTTGTAGTCCCTTGTATTTTTAATTATTAAGAGTCGACTATAGGTGAGTTTTGAAAATAAAGTCATATCCAAAATGTCGCTAGGACTTGTGTGTGTTCAATTCTCCTTTTCCAAATTGAAAAAAAATTGCAGTTTGGTGATACTGCTCATTTGAAATGAATGAATTAGAATAATCATACCAGTGATGAATATAGCTAAGAAAATTTTTGGATCTCTAGGGTCTCCTTTTTATGTTTAACACTTTAAAATTGAAAAAAATATTCAGTTATGCAGGTATAATCTTCATTTTAAAAAAGACACCTTTTTGCACTAGTGATGGACATACCGAAATTTAATTGTTCTATTAATTGACAGGGGGTCACTATCAGTAATAGACATACCTCAGAAAAATTACAAAATCTTTATTTAACTATAAACTTTGTGATAAAGATAATATAAGATAAATGTTCAACTTAATCTTAGAAAAACTATTAGTAGGAAGGTATGAATCACATTAATGTCAAGAAACAATGATTATAGGTATTTAAAAAATTTTTTTTGGGAACTTTGTTCATACAGTTGTCAATAGAGGACATTGTTCTTCAAACTAGAAAAAATTGGAACCTTTAAATCAACAAGGAAGCTTATTATTCACATTTCTAGTTCCCCCATATATAGAATATATATATATGGGCCCCCTGTCCATAACTGATGCATTCACCCTATTCCTTGTAAAAAAAACAGCTTTTTAGGTTTTAGGTTTAATTAAAATAAAATATTTTTCATTTCAGGACGGTAAGACAAATTCAGCAATGTTGGTTTGTGGCTTCCTTCTTTATGTTGGTTTCATTACCGAGCCTAAAGATGCCTTACAGTTATATGCTGTAAAAAGAACTCCTCCAGCTCTTCAACCCTCCCATGTTCGGTAATGAATATCTATGAATCTATGAATATCTCTATATGAATATCTTATATATGTATTATGGTAATAAATATGTATCGATATATATATTTTATCTTTTCCAGGTACCTGGAATATCTGTCTCAGGTACTGGCTCATCCTCAACCTACCATTGTTGCGCAGAAGCTGAGAATTATGTCAGTTGTCATCTCTCCTGTACCTGTCTTCAATAAAAACAGGTTTTGATTTATTTAAAAAAATTTTTTAAAAATTATTTATTTATGATATTTACTACTGTATTAATAAAAAATACATTCAGTACATACATCAGTGATAACAGAAAATAAAAACATGAAAACACTTGTTAAGAAACTGCCCAATAGTAGCTCTCTAAAAAAAAACCACAATAGGAGATCTCGAGGCCATCTTCTTTTCTCACGCCTCGGAGGGTATTTTAAAACTAAATAATGATATGAATTATAACTTATAATTATTCTGCGAATTCAATACGTCATTTTCTTAGAAATACTATTATTTATAAATTTATAATCATAATTTAATCACTTATATTTCATTTTTCATGGTATTAAATTTTGATCCGATTCTTGATCAAGAAATTATAGTTACTATTTTGAATATCAGTCACCAGGGGTAGATCATATAAAAACAGTTTTCTTATTTTATGAGAATTATCTCATCGTTAATTTTTCTATCAAAGTGATACTTTAACGATTAGTTTACATATTTTCCCTGTAGGTGTACCTGAAAAATATCCTTGCTTTTGTTTTAATGAATAGTATACCTGGTCGACATGAGAAGCGCTGCTTATTCTCTGTTAAAAAATTATCAATAATCTTATCAAAATCCTTTTACAAGATTAAGTTTTTTGATAAAATAAGTTTATTACAGTTTATGAACAAAATTCTTACTCATTTAAAATGTTTTGATAAATTTATTCATTAAGCGTGAATCGGATAACTTTAATTAGATTAATTATTAATCATTAAAGCTCTTTTATGTGATTGAGTGAGTTTATTAAAGTTGTTGATGAAAATTATGATGCCTTAATGTTTCTTTTCATTTAATGCTTAACAGTAACCTACGTCTGGAAGAAAATTATAATAGCCTTAATTAAATTATTATTATTGTTTTTTATCAACTTTTATCTAATGAACATTGAATTTGTTTACTTAATTTAAATTGGTTTAAAATACAAGTTCATTTAAGTAAGTTACTATAAAAATGGAAGAAATAAAGTTGATTTCATTTCAAATAAATTGTGTTTTAGGGATGGGTGTCGGCCATTTCTTGATCTATTTCAAGGAGAAGACAAGGTGTTCACCACTGTCGACGACTACGATAGAATGACAGTCTTCAATGTATCTCATTCCAAGGTATTTTCTTCAATTACTAATCGTTAAAGATAGATTCATTATGATATTATTAAATTTTTATTTATCTATTTTAATCACATTAATTAGACAGTTTTAGTGCTGATTTATTGTTTGTTCATTTCAAAATTATTTTTACAGGTAGTTATTCCAGTTAGGTGTACTGTAGCCGGGGATGTCACTTTAGCTGTTTACCATGCTCGTCAAGTCTTGACAAAGGCGAGTCCCATCAAAATGTTCCAGCTTCAATTTAGTACAGCGTTTATAAATGATACAACTCTCATTTTTACCAGGTAATTTAATTGTACGATCTTTATAACTTGATCCTACTGGGAGAAATAAAACTATCATAAAAGTATAAACAAATTTAATTTATTTAAAAAAGATATATATTTAAATTCAAGATATAAAAAGTTAATTGTCTAATTGTATCATAAGAATACGTATCAAGAAATGAATTGTGAATGGAAGTAATCTTGAAAAACATGCGTATAAGTTCAAATTTTAAATAGACAAAACTAATAAAAGGTATGCCATAATCTGATAATAATTGCATGAAATAAAAAAAATTATGTGATTTTTGACAATATATTCACAAATAAATATATTGTTAATGTTATTAATTAACTGTTAATTGATCCTAATTATAATATATAATTATACTCTATAATATAATTTAATTATAGAGATGGGGATATAGTGCTTGGACACTGAAAGCTTCTCTACAAATAAAATTTTAAAATAAAATAGAGACTGTCAATGGCAAAAAAATCCTTAACTTATAAGAACATAAAAACAGTCTAAAATCACCTAATAAAATATGCTTTAAATGATGCTTCTTAAATTTAGAATTAGGTTTTGTTATCCCTTCTTCATAAATAATCTGAATTTTAAAGGAATAAAAGAGAATTTATAAAATATAATTAGTGTCTTATTGTAGATGGGATCATCTACAATAAGTAATTCTGATTCTGATGGGATCATCACCAATTCAACCAATGAAATCATGGCGGAATTGTATTGGGATGCCAGGAGCCAAATGGCCTAATAGCCAACACCAGAGGCATTAAAAAAAAAAAAATAATAAATATATATATATATATATATATATATATATATATATATATATATATATATATATATATATATATATATATATATATATATAATGTTATTGTAGTAATCTAAAAAAATTCAGCTATCTAGAATATATTTTAGTACTCTGTGGTAATTGGCCTCTTTGGGTACTGAAGGGTTTTAACTTTTAAGCCTTTGAGGTTTTTTGATTAAAGTTGACCTTAGTGTGGAACAGAGTTAATCATGTATGAACATTTGGCCAATATTTACAACTTAAAATTAAAGCTCTAATTTCTAAGTCATTTATTGATAAGCTGTTATTGTATTTATATTTTATTAATATCTTACCTGGAAATAATATTTCACCTTATATAACTGAATATATGCAACAAAAATAATAGATGTTTTAACACCTTATAACCTTTTGTTGCTATTAATTATCTTAATTTTTCAGTAATAGTACTAAACATTCCGCTCTACAGTTTTAAATTTAAACTAAATAGATTAAGTTTTTTTATATAATCCTAAGAAGATATTAATTTGATATTTTGTTTCAAATGCATTTGTTGGTAATTTGAATCTGATTGGTGATCTATGAGCCAATTAGAGGTCTATTTTAGTGCCATTCTATTCCCAGGACTATTTTTATTTCATTGAGCTGGTCGTTTGTATTGAATCGGCATTTGATTGTAATACCTCGTTACGATCAGTTTAATAATTTATACTCTCTTTTTTTTTTATTAATAATTTTTTCTTAAATTAATATAATTTTTGTAAATTTATATTTTTATAAATATAAATACAACTCAATAGTATAAAATGTTTTCCTTGCAGAAAATTTTCAGGTATCACTCTATTTTCACGTATTTAATTGAAAAAAAAAATGTTAGGAAAATAATCACAAAATAATTAGCTAGTGTACAATCAGTTATCTTATAATGAAAAACCATATCCAAAATATTGGTTTTCTAATGCTTTAGCATTATTTAATGATCTTTGAGATTAACACAAGTTTTGTAAAACTGGCGACTACAGTAAATTATTTTAGCTGTTGACATGAAAAAGTCCTAACAGATCCTTTCATAATGAAGTCAGCGACCTTTGCAAATAGAATATTTATTGTGGAGAGGGGTTTAGTTATGTCAAAGCATGCTCTTTAAAAATGTATATACTTTACAAAAAAAATAAAAACATGTTTTGTGGCCTATAATTTATCTTTATAGTCTTTTGTTGTTTTCTTCAAGACAAGCAAGGAGCTCATTTGCATAATAAACTCGATAATATAATTTTTTCCTCCATTTAGTTTTAGTTTATTAACCAATGTTTCTATTTCTGTTGTAAAATCTTTACACTATAAGCAAAATATATTATACCCTTAAATTATATCCTTCGGTATCGAGAAGCTGAGGCATTTCTGGTTTTTTAGAACATTGTTTAAGTTTAAACCTAATTTCAATTTTTTATTAACCTCTGCTACTGAATTTTATGCTTTTATTTTTCATTTCCAGCACAGTTGCACGCCATAATAAGGGGAAAATAGAACCTCACTTATGAAGTTTGTTTGCTCAAACCTTTTTTTTTTTCTTATTTCAGATAATTATGAAACAAATGTTGTATTTATTGAACATTTCAGGTCTGACCTTGATGATAGCGAAAATGACGGCCTGCAAGAATCTTTGCTGGTGTCTATTTGCCTCGAAGAAGGTGGAGACCCAGTTACCAGCGTGGCACCATGGGCCAACAGAAGACCAGTCTCTTCGGAAGCGTTGTTCACCTCCAAATTGGAAGCTTCTGAAACGGCCGATACCTTTGGTAAATGTTTATAATTTAATTTATTTCGCTTTCTTGTCTTTATGAGCTGTTATATGGTTTATTATATTTGATTTCCTTGTTAGGTAGTAGTATTATTAGTTATTTAAAAAAAAAAAATGTTTTAAAGCTTTTTTCACTTTTATGGTATTATTTTCAGTTCCTAAACAACGTAATAAAAAGTCAGTGCCTCCACCAAGACCTGGCCCTCCACCGAGACCTGCTCCTAGTCCGAAATTGGAAGTACGATTTTTTAAATTTTATTTATTAATAAATTATTATATATGGTAATGCATATTTACTAGAAATCATAATATTTATAGCATAAATGTAAACATGGATTTATAGAAAATATTTAAGAACTTATGGGAAATTAAAAATAAAATAAAATGACCCTCAATCTAAATTTAGGAAGTCCTGATATTTATTGTGAAACACACTTAATTACAATGAATAAAAACAGATCAACTCCACAACACATCTGAACTACTGACTGTGACATATTTTATAACATACTGGCATATCCAATTTTTAGAACACTGACTCCGATTGGATGGCCATATATGTGCGAAAATAGCAAAAAAACGTGCAAAAATACATGGCATAAAAAATCTCAGACTAGACTAGACTGATGACTACTGACTGACTGAACCTAGACCAGACAACTAGTGAGCACCATCACTAGAATATTTGTCTATCAAAATATCAATATTCTCTAATTTTAACTCCTCATAACACATTAAGAATGTATAACATCTAAAGAATTCTATCCCACAAAATTACGTTATTCAAATATCAATAACATATCTTTGGAGCTAATACAAAACAAAAAAAAACAATTAATTTGGAATGGCTGTAGAGGAATGCAAAACATTTTGACCTAAATTTATCCTGGGATTGCTCTGAAGTTGATACTAGAAAACAATCATGCGTTGGTCATTAGATCAAAAGTAGAAAAACAAAAATTCTGGCTAAAAATATTGTTTTTAAGGGGATTGAACATTTTCCTCGCTTATAGTATGGAGGTCCGATTTTTAGTTCCTGAGATATTTTAATCCATATCTTCCATAAATAAAACTTGTTTTCATTTGGTTTTTGATACTATTTTTGTTTTGTTTTACCTCTCTAACATGGCGTCGCATTGAAATAAAATTCTGAATAATAGCCCATCACAGAGAGGATGAAATGCTGTAAGATTCTCTTGCCTTCAGTATGCAGATTCGATTTTTAGTTTCTGAGATATTGATATTGATATTTGATTTTGAGTTTCTTTTAATCTATTTGAAAAAAATACTTCAATTAGTCGACTCCAGCCGACTTTGCCCGAGTGTTTCACATCAGAAATCTGACATTTCAATTTAATTCACTCTTCATAAAAAAGTGCAAAATGCACCTAAAGAAGTTTTCACTTAAAAAACAATCCTTTTGTTTTAAATTACTACTTGATAGCAAATATACTGATTTAAATTAAGTTTCTTGTATTTGATGTTTTTTAGGAAAGGAGGCATAATAATAGTGAAAGTGCCAACTTGTTGAATCTAGAAGAAAGTGAAGTAATAGACGCAGTCGAAACTGACGATTTATTAAATCTTGGAGGTGGCGATTCGGGAATCACGTCTGGTGTTGATTCTATTTTCCAAAGTTTCTCTGCTGCACCTCCTCCTCAACCAACTCAATCGTTCACCGTACCACCTCCGCAATCACAGCCCCTCTTTGATCCATTTATTCAAACCAACGGAACAACTGATCAGGTAATTTTAAACTTTTGTATAACTTATTTAAATATACAATGTTTACTGTATGCTTATTATTTTTTTATTTCACAAAAAATAATGAATGGCATAAATAAGGGGTTATTTATCATATAAATACTTTTCTGGCTACACCACGCAAAAACAAGACTACAAGTAGAATGGAAGAAGGAATATGAAATGAAAGAAAGCAAAATGAGAGAAATAAAACTTAATTGCGACAAATGGCTCACAAGCTACAGAAGTTCAAGGAGAGAAGAAGTTATGCTTTGCCGACTAAGGATAGGACACTGCCAGTTTATACATGGCTACCTTCTGAGAGGTCTCGAAGCGCCCACATGTGAAAAATGTAATAACGTTCTACAAACAGTAAAACACTTACTGGAAGAATTTCCTAAATTTGAAAGTTGTAGACAAAAAAACAGGCTTAGCCAGAACATTAAAAGAAATCCTTCAAGATACTGAAGAAACAGTCAATACTTAGTTTGAATTTTCGAAGTTCATAGAATATTACTGAAGAATATAAATCATAATAAAATGCCAATGACCCTTGAGGGTAGAGGCGAGAAAGAGAGAGGAAAAAACTTTTCTTTTTTTTAAATAATTATTTTGCTAATTATCATTACTAATTATTAATTAGAGGTGTCTAGGTGTTGTTAACTCTGTTTATGATATGGATGAATAGAATATAAACAGGATTTTATTTTTTCGTAAAATTCATTTATTGAAAAATAAAAGGCAATTATAATTCAGTGATGGCAATCATTTTCACATGTTCTCATCCTTCGTTGATCCCTATATGCCAGGCTTGTGTCTCTATAACGCATTGCACAGTGGAAGGGTGCTCCAGTTGTCTTGTTATCGGGAATATTACTGTTGAAGTGGTTGGATGAGTGGAACCAAACCTACTAGAAGTGCGGATCTAATCCTACCAAATGCAGATGCTTAGGAAAAGTTCCTATTTATATTTGATTCACTCTTGTAGTGTTAAGATTTTGTTATTGGCATATTCATATTTTAATGTATTTGTCATTCATATCATCAATAGTTTGAAAAACCGTCTATGAGCATCTTAGCACTTTTATTTTGTGTTCTTTCATTAATAATTAAGATGTAGACGCACCTCTTACATAAAGGAAAAACTCTTCCGTCTGTTATATGTAAGATGAAAATGTTTTTTATTTTGGATTTATGTGAACATAAAAGTATCACAGGAGTGCTTCATTCAAATTTTTCCAAACCAATGATGATATTTCAGTATTATTTTATTTTTATCTAATTATAATTTTTTTATAGGTAAATTGTAAGACTGAAAACCTACTAGGGGATTGGGATGCCAATTTTGCTGATTTCACATCAAACATGAACAACATAAACAACGGAACTAGTGAGACTGTGACGATTAGTAGTTCGGTCGTTGAGGAAAATTTGAGTTCTAGTTATAAAGAAAAACAAAACGATATGAATAGCCTGTCTAGTGAATTCAACAACCTTGGTGTAGGAAAGGCGAATAGTATGCAGCGCAACGTTAGTTCACCTAATCTACACTCGGATCTCTTCGAAGAATTTAGTGAGTTATACTTATAAATTATCCTACATTTAAGATTTATCATTATTTTGATTCTAAAACAATGAGGATGAATCCTATTTATGATTTTGTTATGATAAAGGGAGGCCTTAAAATTCATAAAAATGTTATCAATGTCTTCCAAATATTGTCAAGTTATTATTTATTTTAGTTGTTTGGCAGAAGAAGAAACTTCCAATTGGTAACAATTGAGTATATTTTCATTATCAATGTTACATGTTAACAAGTTAGTTGACGTTTCGGGACATTTATTCCCATCTTCAGAACTGCAATCCCAATAATCTTGTGGATGCAAGGCTAAAAATTTTATATTATGCTTGTTACATTACATATTTGAATTTTGTTGTTACAATAAATTTGTAATTACCTTAAATTTAATAATAATAATGTGCTCCATCGTCAAATTTCTAATTCAAGTTCTAAAATGTATCATCTAGAGCAACATCCTCCTTTTGACCAATAATTGGGTTTCTGCCATAGTGAAAAAATTGACCTTTGGATCTGACTGTTTTATCTGACTATTTTTATTATTGTTGTTAATGTTTATTTTATGTGTCTGTGATTTCACTTCTATTTTTATTTATTTATTTTTTTTTTCTTTTTTATTTTTTTGTTTATTTAGAAATATTACATTCTGTCACATCAAGGACATTTATAATAGTGTTCAGAGAAATCACACTCACACTCTATTTACAATTAAAAAAAAATAATACTTAATTTTGTTCAATATGTCCGTATAATGGGTTCCTAAATGTTTAGTGTCTGTTTTGTATTTATTAGTGTCTGTAAGTTATTATTTATCTATATGATAAAATAAGTCTGCGACAACCCTTCACCAAAAATTTTATTTTCCAATTGCACGATGTTCTGGCTGACAAGCCATCCTCAGGTATTATTTACAGTTATTTTATATACAATTATTACTTAATGGAATGTTATTATTTTTTCTTGTGTTTAACTTGTTTATTGAGTAATATTACATACAATATATTACTACAAATATATTATATACAATATATTACTACAAATATTACTCAACATTTGTTATATATTACATAGTAATATGTCGTACAATAAGTACATTTATAATAGACTTGTAGGCCCATTCGAAAAATTCGCACAGCATATTGTTATCAAATGCCAAATTAATAAGAAAATGCAACTTATCAAAAGATTAAGACTTCAAATGTTACTTTATCGATAAATATAATCCACAAAGGAAACAAAAATTAATTTAAATCTTCATTTTTGTTTGGAACCAACATGTATACAAATTTCAGTAAGCTGTATATTTGCTTAAAATTGTCCGATTGCGATGAATTTTTTTTTCCTTTTGTAGGGAATTTAGTAATCTTTTATATAATTATGGGCATAACCAAGGAAAAAGTGTGTAATTTTTCAGTTATTCGCAAATAAAGTTTATTTTCTTTCATAACTTGTTTGTCTGAATTTTCTGGGTGATTGGACTATTTTGCCATCCTGAAGGAGAAGGAAGCCTTCGAAATTGGTGGCTCAATCTTGAGATTTGGTGAAAAATTAACGATGATATGGCTTGCCGATCAAAAACACCATCGATGAATAATATAAACTCCCCCTCTCTCGATCATAGAGACCTCAAGTCGACGAAATGAGACATGTATTCGATGACAGTACTACAATTAATGTAAGATTGTGTGGATGCCGGACGAACCCTATGCCTTGCGTTATCTCGAAAATAGTACGTTTTTCGGCTTTAAAACGCAGGATCCGATAGTTCCGAAAGAACTATTCGGGTCTTGCTGTACGCATCAAAATCTTTAAAAGATCCAGTTTGATCAGTATCGATCTACAGACCTACCACCGTTCCAGTATCGAAGCCTAGCAAAATGTTTGTATCGACTTTATTTATTTTAGAAAGAAAAACAAAAGTGGAGAATACGATTCGCTAATCCCCCGTGAAATTTTGAATCCAACGGTACCCCATTCGTGGTATTTGAGCATGACAGGAGCTTATATTTGGTACAAAACCGATTTCGAGCCTTACTGTAATAATGTATGTACGGGTTACAAGAGAGCACATTCATACCATATTTACAGAAACATAAATAATTAAAGTTTTAATAATATAATACCTAGAAATAAGAACAAAGTAAAGTAGCATAAGGAGAAATATCATACAAATAAATAATAACTTGACAATACTTGGAAGACATTGATAAGATTTTTATGAATTTTAAAACCTCTCTTTAAATATATATAAACGACGTTATTAAAATGTTTAGTTCATATGTTGTAACGTAATAGTCCCTGCTGCCATTTCTTTTTATCATGACGGTCTTCCTCCGGGAGTCTTCTCGCTGCTGTTGCCTCATGGATATCTTTAATCCACCTTTTTTATGGTTTATCTCCCTTCCTCCTTTCAAATAGTACATGCTTTAGCACCTTTTTAGGCCGTCAGTCGTCCTTCATTTTCATGACATGTCCAAACCAACTCAGCTTTTTTGTCTCAATGGAGTGCAGGATGTTGAAGGTTTCTTTCACTTTTTCCCTAATGGTGTTATTTGGAATGTGTTGTAGCCTTGATATTCTAAAACTTCATCTCCAAAAAAATCCCCTCCGAGCCGTCTGAAACGAAGATGCCCTCGAGATCTGTTGTAAATACATTTTTAGAGTGCTACCAGTGGGTAGTTTAACAACAAGTGGTTTCATGTTAATATATTGTGTTCACATTTACTGAATGTATTTTTATTCCTAATACAGTTGTATATATAATAAATAATAAAAAAAAAAAAAAAATTCCAAAAATCCATCTCCATTGATAACAGTTTTCTTGCTGAGTTGTTTGAAATTATTCAGATTTCTGAGGCATATAATACAGTTCTTAAAACAAATGAGTGGTATTATTCCGTAGAACAGAATTTAGGGTCTGTATAACCTTTTCTGCCTCTGATGACCTTTTCATCAATGTCTTTTTTTTGCTGTTGCTTCCCTTTGAAAAGGCCACCTGCCTAAATATTGAAATTGGATATTGGACCCATTCCCCAACCTTCAGTGAGAAGTTTCGACTATTATTTAATGCTATGTACTTATTTTTTGTTTTACTGATTCTCAGGCCTGCTACTGTATAGGCTTCAAATAAAAGTAAAATAAAATTATTGATGAAGCTTGTTACAGTATCATTTTATCAACTAATATATTTCATTAAAAGTTTTATAATGCTTAATTTCTTTATTTTTTATTATATATGTATATATAAAATAAAATAAAATATACTTTGAAAAGTAACATAAACATCTTAGACACTGGCATACTTATGTACACTATTTACAATCAGCCTTGGAACTCCGAACCAATCTTGTCCCCGCACTATTGAAGGGTAAAGCGAGGCTCTATGAGATCCCAGCTCTTCTCCCTCAAAAACTTCATTAGTATTAAAAATGGCATCTTCTTACGATTACATACATTATAATATAATCTGTAATACTTTTTTTTTAGAAGAATGGAATTTTTTTAAATGCATCAATTGCATAAGTCCTTCTGTTTCTTAATTTATCTTTTTTTAGTTTCGCTTTGACAGACATTTTTAGTCATTTTTTTTAGCACTGCTTTTAGCGTACTCTATTATGTTAAATATATATTATGTTAAGCTCCCTCTTAGTTTAAATTAAACTTCAAATGAAGCTTAACTATGATTTGAATTAAACATTTATTTTTCAATATTTACATATATGAATAAAAAAAAAAAAAAAAAAAAAAAAAAAATGAAGCCAATTTTAAAATTTCAATAAATAAAATAAAATAATTACTGTATAAATGAAAATAATAATATGCTTAATATTTAAGAAATGTATAATAATAAAAAAAATGATGATAGCCTACTAAAACAAAATAGAGAATTGATAGGACTGGCCCAATATTAAATCAAAATAGAGACTTGTTGTTTTATGTTAATGTTAATAGCCCAATAATAAAATTTATACATAACCAATAAATTGGTACGACATTTACTTTATTATTTATAAAAATACGATTGAATAATATTTAATAATGAGTTAGATTGTTGCTATGAGTCATAGTTGATTCTGTAAACTGAACTGATTCAGTTGATGAATCAACTACAGGTAGTGACCGTGACCCTTTCTTAGTTTCTATCAGGTAGAGACTGTGTTCAGTCTTGATCTCTTTGTGAATACTAAGTGATATGTCTGTTGATCTAAATAGCTCTCATTATCATTTTGATTATGCATACAATACTTGTAGGTTTTTAGCATTGTTATCTAGTTTATTATTAAATGCTTTTTTATACTTTCAATATTATTTGATTTATATTCTTGCTTTAATTTTGGAATGTTCCTTCTCAAGATAAATCAAATAGCTTTATAACTAATATAATATTTGTAAGAATAGATATCTAATAATTAGCTAATAATCGCACATATATACTAATTTAAGCTAAAATTAATTAAAAGAAAAATAATTATTTTAATTTTAATTTAAGAGTCCTATATTCTTACTTGTATCTTAGACTTTTTCCTTCTTTTTTTTATATTTAATGATATAAAAACGTAAAAAATAAATATAATATTGCAATAAATTGTTTGACCTTTGAAAACTAAAATTGACTTATATTTTATTAAAAAAACATACTAAAACATTTTAATTTGCATTACAATTAATAAAAATAACTCTTTTTATTCCGTTATTTATTTATTTATTTTTTTATTAACCAATGGTCTATATCTTAGAAATAAAAAATAAATATAATATTGTAATAAATTGTGTGACTTTTTTTAGTGTTATATTTTATTATAAGGTTGATGATGGTCTCATTTTCTAATTAATGTTTATTTTGTTTGGTTTTATATTTTTTGTTGTATGATATGATTTATATTATTTGATAATTATTTGACATGTTTAAAACATGAATTATTATTCTATTTGTTTTAATTTTTTTAAATTTTAGTTCTTAGACCATTGATTAATGTAAAAAAAAAAAATTCACGGAATAAAAAAAGATTTATTTTTATTAATTTTAATGCAAATTAAAATGTTTTAGTATGTTTTTTTAATAACAACTTGAAAATAAGTATTTTAAACAATTTGAAAATAAGACTTTAGATAAATATTTTAAATTAACAATCAAATTTATTTTTAAATATTATTATTAAAATATTTTATTAAAAAAACACGCTAAAACATTTTAATTTGTATTACAATTAATGAAAATAACTCTTTTTTTATTCCGTTAATTTTTTTTTTACATTAATCAATGGCCTAAGAACTAAAATAAAAAAAAATTAAAACAAATAGAATAATAATCCAGGGTAGTGGTCATAAATAAGCTGAATAGTGGCAAAACTATTTTATTAAGTAAAACTCTTTTGAAAAGCCAGTTCTAAGTGAAACTCCTAGCTGAACACACCACCCTGAAGAAGACCTGCAAAGTCTGGTCAAAACGTTGGTTTTTAATAAAATAGTTTTGCCACTATTTAGCCTATTTATGTCCGCAACCAGGGACCATCTCAATCCTTTATAATGCAATGATCAACTATTCAATATTCAATAATAATTCATGTTTTAAATATGGTAAATATTTATCAAATCATATCATACAAAAAAAAAAACTATAAAACCAAACAGAATATACATTAATTGGAAAATGAGACCATCCTCAATCTTATAATAAAATATAATACTAAAAAAAGTCACACAATTTATTACAATATTATATTTATTTTTTATTTCTAAGATATAGACCATTGGTTAATAAAAAAATAAATAAATAAATAACGGAATAAAAAAAGAGTTATTTTTATTAATTGTAATGCAAATTAAAATGTTTTAGTATGTTTTTTTAATAAAATATTTTCTTACACAATTTGAAAATAAGACTTTAGATAATTATTTTAAATTAACTATTTTATTAGACAATCAAATTTTATTTTTTTTTAAATCAGTCGTGTTTTCAAAATAAAAAAATATATATAATTTTTAAATTTTTAATTAAAATATACAGAAGTGATATAGTTTTATTGTAAGTGTAAATACCTTTAGAAACTTATTCGAAAGAGTTGGGTTCTTGCATGAATTATCAATTTTTATTTGTTGGTGAAAATATAAAGTCCCAAATTTTTCTGCTGCATATTTTTCAAGATAATTAGCGTTAATGAAAATCAGTGTGGACGAAGCTAAGCCATGAGAGTAGAGACATGGCTTGTCAGCCACTAGCTCATGCTGTTGGTTATCATATATATACTTTTTAGCTTCCACTAGCGTTTCCAGTCTTAAAAGTTATTCCCAAGCAACATCTTTTCATTTTTCCTCACCCTGTTGTCTCTAAGTAAACATATTTTATTAGCTTTTATTTTTATAAATGTATGTTAATAAAGTAAAGCAGGGAGAGGTATAAGAGTATAATTTTATCAGCCATATATCTCACACTACAGTGGACTTAACCCATAACTCCAGTCCCCATCACACCTCCTAGATACACTGTTATTTCAAGTTCTTAGCTAAATATGGAACTTTATTTATTTTTGAAAAAGTAGAATTTAAATATTATTTATTAATTAAAATATTTGTGTTTTTGATTAGTTACGAAACCAAAGGCTATGAGCAATGCAAATAGTCCTGCGAAAACCCCATCTGAAGCCAATTACAACAGGGCACACTTCGAATCTGCAAAGCCCCCACCTGCTAACAATCAGACCGGTTTGTGATTTATCTCTTATTTTTTATTCTATAGTTATTTATATCTAATGTTGGCAATATTTGACCGGAACTGAAGTTCTTTATAATTTATTTTACTCATATAATTTACAAAATATCAAATAAATAATTTTTTTGTATGCAGGCAAGAAGGCGACTGATATATTCGATGACCTCCTCGGCAGCCAAGGATATTCGTTTTCCAGTAAGAAGGAGTCCGGTCCAAGGACGATTAACCAGATGAGAAGGGAGGATCAAGCCAAAGTTGTAGATCCTGAAAGGCTTAAGGTGAATATTATTATTATTGTTAATATTGTTATACATATCATTTAAGGTATTACCATCACTTCGCTTTAAATGTGGTGAATACATTTCTCATAAATGTACACGTTATCTACAGAGGTACTGATAAAGAAACTATTTATTCTAGAGTTGAAGATTTTTAGAAAAAAAGTTTTTAAAATAAAAGTTCTAAGGAACTTTTTGTAATTAAGTTCTAGATTTATGGTAAAACACCATTTTTTAGATAGACCTTTCAGCAAAATCTACAGAACTTTTAAATACAATTTTTTTAAATTAAAAGTTCTGTAAAATCTTTACTTACAAAGTTGAGGACGCCATTAGCTGACAGTTCTCTGTGCCCCAGTGAGAGTATACTTTTCCTCACCTCTACTCACCACTTTAGCCTTTTTATTTAGGGAATGCTTCCAAACTTTTTTATATTATCTAACTTTTATACAATTGCTAGGAAGGCCATGATATATTTTATAAATATAATTCACTGAGCACAAGGTTGTTTAAAGAGGAGTCCGATATGGACTTATATATGAGTCCACTGCCATCTGGGCCTGGTTTCTTCTTGTCTCATATATCACTCCAACGTGGTTTAAGGTCAATTCCTAGGAAGAACTCAGGATGCATGCAAGTTATCGCAGGGGAATTTAGTGCGAAGTTGGTAAAAGCAGTTGGGAACATAACATTACCTTCATAACTCTTATTTTTATTTATTACTTTCCCACTTGTACTAGATAAGAAAAGTATTGTGATCGTGTAGAATTTCCGATATGCGGTTTTTGACGGATCTATACGTTTCAGAGCCCCCTGAGTCCCAAAAACATGTTTTTAGCCATTGGTCTGTCTGTCAGTGCCAAGATTTTCTCAGGAACTAGTGGACCGATTTTGTTGCTTCATTTTTTATTTTGTAGGGTTTTGACTACTGATGGCTGTGACACGAATAGAGTGCTCCATGTGCAATAGCTGATACTCAATAAATGAAAAACATATTTTTCTATACAGTGTAGCACGAAAACAGATTCTGATGAAACTCTAACGATTTTGATGAAACTTTCCTATAATGTTTTAATAATTGTCCTTTCAATTTTCGTACATGGGCTAAATTCCCGAAAAAATTATTACAGGAAAAAAAATTATAAAGAAAAGAAAAATGTTTTGGGGCCTAACTTGCTAAGTATATATTCTGTGGTAAAATTGATAATAAAACTTTTGACAGGTAATTAAATTACCAACAAAATAAAAAAAAAAAAAAATCGGAATCAAACCAGTATTAGCGATGATATAGCGTATTATATTTTAACACATGTTTTAATTTATTACTTTCCTACTTATAATTTCCGATATGTAGTTTTCGACGGATCTATATATTTAGAGCCTCTGTTTAACCTGTTTTTTTAAGGTAATAAGATTTCCTACAAAACTATATAATAATCGTTCATTTCGAGCAACTACTAACAAAGTTACAGCTATTCAATTTCCACTGTAAGATTACGGGTACATATCCTGGTGTCAGAAAGGGATGAATGAGAGAAAAAAGATAACTTAGTGAAACTAAGAAAATCTGTTGCCTGCATCACACAAGCTCTACTATTACCTCTACTTTTAATAGAAATTATTGTTTTACAAAATTAAGCCATGTTTTTATAAAGCAAAAAGTTTTTGATCAGCAATATTAGAGGTTATTGAAATTTGTACACTGATCTACCTTAAGCCGATTTACATTGCTTTAGTTTATCAAATAAATCGTACTCAAATATTTTCTTTGATAAATTTTCAGGAAAATGAATTTAATTCAATTTTTTTTCGTTTCTTGATGGACATATGTAAAGATATAAAAACTTTTCTGAAATAGGTAGGAAAGTCTTGTGAGTGGGCAAACCAGATTTTTTTCTTTTAAATGATAAAATTTTCAAATTAATCGAGTAAAAGAAATTCTTAAATTAAATGGATTCAAAGAGATAGCGTAGAAGAGTATCGGTTCCCAATGTATGTTATTAGCTATGTATGAATGTTTTCCTCCTCTTTAATTAAATCTTCTGACTGTTTCCGTTTCCTTCTTGAGTGTCACAGCAGCCCTGATGGTAGTTGCTAACTACTAAATGCTTTATAGTTAGAGCTAAGTTATTTCTGGTAATATAGGTAGTTCAAAGCCATCATAAATGTATAAAGAAATCTCACCTCGCTTCCTCTACAATGTTTTTACATATTGAATATCATTATAAATTAAGTTGTTCCCAATAAAAAAAATTGTCTTCATGCTACCATAGGTTATGGATTGGACGGAGGGTAAGACAAATAACATCAGAGCCTTGCTGACATCCTTGCATACCGTTCTGTGGCCTGAAGCAAAGTGGCAACAGTGTAGCATGGCTCAGCTCGTAACGCCGGCCGACGTGAAGAAAGCCTACAGGAAAGCGTGTATTGCAGTTCACCCTGACAAGGTAGTTTCACACTTATAATTATACTTTGTTGCCTGTTTTATTAATCGTTTAATATTATTTTTTTTTATTTTCAGCATATCGGAACTTCGAACGAGTCATTAGCAAAGATGATATTTATGGAATTGAACAATGCCTGGAGTGAATTTGAGAAAGAATCTACTTAGAAACAAATGAGAATGTTTCGCGTTTCTATAACCAGAGTTTACCATTTGTATATTGCGTGTACAAAATTTTAAGCCAACCAAAGAGCAAAGTACTTAATATGGTTGAAGAAATGTTGGAAAGAAATTTCAATTTGTATTTTTCTGCTATCGCGGTATTCATTTTTTGAGCCTTGGCTTGCTGCAGCATTTTAATTATTAATTTCCACACTCAATTTAAATAATAATAATTAAGATAATCAAATACAATCAAAAATATTGAGATGACCGATGACTGCCTATACATTTCATTATCAATACTTTTAAAAGCAATTTAATGGCACTAAAAAATGTCAAATATTTGTCGATATTTTAAAAGCTCACTCAGTAAATTCATTTTATTATGCAAATTTTGTTTTTATCCTTTGTTATTACTAGTTGAAAGATTCTAGATGTGTTATCTAATGTTTATGTATAGGTTTTATTTGAAGATTATAATTATATCATCCATGACTCGTTAACTAAATAATAAATAAGTAAATAAAATTGAAATTCTTTATATGTAGAGATTGCTGTATTTTGTGTAGATTTTTGGATTTGAAAAATTATTTTTTTTTCTTGTAATTACAGTTGAACCTCTATATATTGAAAAAAAAATTGTAACTTTTTTGTTATGCCATACATAATACTGATATATGAGCAAAAATCACCAAGTCTAGTTACAGAATTTTGTATAGTAAATTATTTCTGACTGGTAAAAAAAAAAGAAACTATTTAAATGGATTATATAATTTATCCATCAAATTAAGGCTAAATAAGGCATATCAAATGAGTTAGCGATCTTGGCCAAATGAAAATAAATGCATAGTTCGTATGATATTTCAATAAGAAATGCTGTAAAGCCCATGAAATACAATTGCACTTAAATTTTTATTATTGAAGATACTTAAGTAAACCACCAAAGTATATGTATGTAAAGTTTCACTTTAAAACTTCTTAAATGCCACAACTATGTATTTAAATGTGAATTTTTATATATAAATTTTATATGTAAATATTTAAAAACATGTCCAGAATGTAATCCCCACTTAAGACTTAACATGGAAAACTGACTAACTTAAATTCTCACACTGAAACTACTCATTTCTGAATATTAGACTAACTATTTAAACTTCCAGTTACAAAAACCTCAAATACATGATTATTATTAGATATATTTAGATTAATAAAGTTAAGCATTGAGGTCCTACTTAATTATAAAAATCCTTATATTTCAAATAATGCTTGGAAATGTTTTTCATATTACTAAAATATCCTGTTTAGGAAGATGGTTCAAAAACCCATTCAAGATTTTCTATTTCTTAATTCGTGTTACATCTTATTTAAAAATAGAAATATACATTGTCTTTAAAATCAAAAATGTTTTGCTCAGTTATAGAGGTTCAATTGTATCACTAAGTTCCAGTCTGCTTTTCCATTGATTAAGCCCGCAGTTCTATATTCTATGCTACCAAAATCGAGATGAATAGTAAGAGCTTATGACAGTTTGCTATTATTAAGAATGATATTATATTGTAGTGTAAATATTAGAGAGAGGGTATGTTTTATCTTTGTCCCTATTCCATTCCATTATTTGTTTGTGATATTAAAATTGTTATTTTAGTTGATAAAAACATATATAATTATGTATAGATAATTTCTATATGCAAATATTTTAACTTTTGTTTATATAATCTTATAACTATAGAGATTATTTATTTATTAATTATCTGTAAATAATAAACTTAGATCAATAACTATATATATTTTATTCTAAAATATAATGTAATTAAAAAGATTATATATATAAATAAGTATAAAAGAAGATAATAATTAATAAAAAAATTCAAATTAAATAATTGTTGAATTTTGTCGTAGCTTTGTTATGGCAATTGTTATCGAATGGCGCGTCGATGAGAGAAATTATTTTGTCAAAAGTTGTAGTTATTTATTTACCGATATATTTATATTTATAAATAAGTTTTTATTTTATATATTTTTCTAATATGGATTTGTTGCACATTTCCATATTTGTTTTATTATTTTGATAATGTGAAGGCAGGATGTTGAATGGTCAACGGCTAGATTGTAGCGTCAGCTATCATCAGGCAGTCTTAAAATGGAACAAGAAATAAATTCTTTTTTTCAAAGCAATACTTTGTTTGTTGTTTTTTAAGGTACTACTTTTAAGAGTCACTGTAGATAGAACGCTGAAAGAAGTGGTATGTGTATGTATCCTCACAGCTTCCTTAAAAATAAAGTGTTAGCCATTTAAGAAAGGGAATCTTTCTTAAGCTTACATAATGTTGAGGTTATATTATGTGTTAAATGTTCATCTACCTTAGTACCTACTATCTTCATTTCTTCCAAAAAAAATTAAATAAAATACTGGAATAGGCACAACTTTTATGTTAGGGTGATTATCACATTCCCCTTAGTTATCCAATTATTTTATGCACAATTACTATGAATTGATGAAGATGTGTGGAGATCCCAAGAAATCAGGAGAGAGACCAAGCTTCGCATCTTCAGAAGAAATATCACGTCGGTTCTGCTATATTCTTGTGAGCCTTGAAAAGTGGAGCGACCATGGGTCGGGAGACCCTCCTGGGGCACACCCAGCCTCTATAAAGTGGGTTCCATTAATTAAATAATTAATTAAGGGGGAAAAGCTGGCGGTTGAGCGTGATCTTGGCCAAATCACCTCTTTGCACAACTGTTTATCTAGAAACACTGTTTTCCCTAAATAGTGCTGAACCCAAGACCCTCCATGGGTTGTAGTGGTACCGTTTTTTTTTTTTTTTTTTTTTTGACCAAGAAGCTACATTCATTTGTCAATAGATATCTGCAGAATATATTGCGAGTATGGTGTCCTGAAGCAATCTCTAATGCTGAGCTCTGGTCGCAAGCTAATCAAGGCCCGATAGATCAGGTCATTAAACGACAGAAATGGAGATGGCTGTATACACCTTGAAAGGACCAACACGACAGTCTTGAGTGGAATCCCCAAGGCCAGCAGATGCGGACGTCCTTGACAAATGTGGAGGACTCTGGAGTCAGGGAGCTAGTTAAAGTTGGAGATGCATGGCAGAACTTCGTGACGACCCTGTGTCCCACCTAAGCGATTCTATAAACTAATAATAATTAATTTATCGTTAGTTAGTTATTAATAATAAACTAATGTTTGAATCCATTTATATTCCAAAAACATAACACAATTTTTTAATCAAAAAACTTTTATTTCGATTAACTTATACTTTTTCGTAATGTGTTGTAATTTTTTATATAATATATATACTTACTTATATAAAATAAAATGAGTTACCAATTTAATGATAAAATAAATAGAAGTAGTATTATATGTAAATTCGATCATATTTTATTACATGAAATTGAGAAGTTAATAAATAAGTATAACTTCTTAAAATAATTGTTTCTAAAAATCTTAAAATATTATCAGATCTCTATTAACTCATTGATATAAGCTGTTTTTATTTTATCACTTTCATTGCCTATCTAATCCAACTGACTCTGAGCATCTAAACTTGTGTATTTTCGCCATTCCATCTACCGTAAGACTTAAAGATCTTGAGCCCGACCTCTATGTCGGAGTGACAAGTATAGTGTTTTTTTTATTATTAACTACCTAAAGAAAAGGAAGTATGGTAAGCAATTAAATTTACTTTATACCATCACTTGGAGATTAGTTGAAATAATATGGGAGTGTATCTATTGGGGCAGAAATTTTGAGTTTATTACAAATAGGAAAATTTAAAAAAAAAAATTGTTTTTGAATATGGATTACTGAAAGTTAACCTTTTAAAATAAACCTGTGACTTTATCTATCATACAAACGTTTATTTAAAAAGTTCTTTCTAAATCATTAAAATGGAACTTTTTAAATTTTTTCAAGTTCTGTTTACAGTACTTAACAATCCTAAAACTTTTTTGTAAATGCTTTCATATGTTCTCACAGCTGAATTGGCAAATGGAGTCGTATAAATACTATAAACACAGCTGATGAGTCAAACTGGAAGAAAATTATATTTTTTGTTATACAAGCCAAAAGAAACATTTCAGGGGTCAGGAGACTCTCAAAAGGCACTAATAAAGCGGCTTTCCTTAATTAGTAGAAATGACCTTGTGTTTGAGTGTGATTCCGGAAAAATCACCTTGCATAATCCTTGGTCCTTAATATATATTCAACAAGAATTTTATTTATTTTCTTCATTACTCCTAAGGGAGATACTTATTTCGAGGTATATAAGTAAGAATTGTTACAGTATTTATTCTTCCGAAAAACATTTCCACTCCATTACAACATGACGTTTCGGGATCTACTTTTATATCCCATCTTCAGACAGTATCCTCATCCTATATCATCTTATTCTCTATAAGATTTTGTCATATTATTTATTATATTTTTTATTGTCATATTCCTTGAAAATTATATTGTAGTCTCCTCTAGGGAGAGCCTAGTCAGATACTATGGTAGGTCATGTTGTAATGGAGTGGAAATGTTTTTTGAGAGAATAAATACTGCAAAAAAAATTCTTACTTATATAAATTTTATTTATTTTTCATAACACAAAATTAAATGAGGATCTCTAAAGTGCTATTATGTGATATATATCATTCCCCAAGTAATGATATATATCCATTCAATTAGTACTGTGAACAGCCAACTTCCAAAAAAAAAAAATTGAAATCTGCTCTTTATTAGGGTTTTTAAAGGTTTAGCCAGTGCTATCATTCATTGAGAGGCAAACATTATTTACAAGAATAGTACACATCATAATTTATATCTCGAGGAAATACCTTTTTTTTTCACTAACCGCTCTATTTACAATATTTTTATTATACTTGTATTGCATCTGTTTATTCCAACCACAACACAATTTGCTTTATAAAAAGTAAATTTACAGTAAAATCCATAATTTAGTTTACACTCCCGTTTAAATTGCCAGGATTTGACAAGATTAGAGCTTGATCACTAGAATAAATAAATAAAATATTCATGTAAAATGAAGAAAATCAAACAAAGTATTTTGTCATGAATGAAGACCAGATTTTTGATGATATAGGACAATTAAAATGAACCATTATCTTGGTATGAGAATTAAAAAATATAAATCCCTACATATACATTGCTTTCCTGATTTTAAGAAACATTTGTGTCAAATATAAAGGAAATCTAAAAACGTATCGAATCATAATCACCATGGACAGAGAAAATGCCAAATAATTGAATTGATACAGGACCTCACTTATGTTCAGAAAATAACGAAGAATAACTGCTTAGTGCTAATTCTTTAAATATAAACCATACTTCAGAGCAGTATAATCAACACAACTCTGACACCAATGTTGTTTATAATAAAGCATAAATAAAAATCAACAAATAAATAAATAATCAGTATTCAAATCAACTTTATTATGTACAAATAAAATACTGTCTTATTTATATTTCCATTAAATGGTCGACATCTGTTAAAACTTCATTTGAGTGCTTTCCTATAACAGAAAATAAAAATTAACTTTAACTATGAATTATTTAGATGAAATATGATTAATCAGATGTTTATATAATAAGGGAACTTACCTCCAACAGGTACCGTAAAATGACTACCAACAAGGCAGTCTTTCAATTCACAGCCGTCGCTCACAACTGAGTCCTCACAGACTATGCAGTTTTGGATATTGCAGCTGAAACAGAATGAGAAACATTAGATGTTTGGCTATGAAACAGTTCAAATATTGTCATTGAGATCTCTTTCAATAGATACCATTAACTATGAATTTATTTGTTAACAAGATTTGTTAAAAGATGATTTGTGTGATTACATAGACTAACAAGTATAATCACCAAAAAATTCTCCTCTAACAGGGTTACTATGGAAAGAAAATAAAATAAATTAATTTTGTTACTATTCTGTAAGATCTCTCTCTCTCTCTATATGTGTTTTGACATCATAGAAATTGATTGTATCATTTTCTGTTTACATCAATGAATGAAGAAAAGATGAATGTAAAAGAAATAATTGAATAATTGAATTGAAAAACGTATAAATTTTCATTTTGTATAATTCCATAACAGAATAAAAATTAGGTATTTTATGCTAATTTTTTATTTATTCCATCTCCACTTAAAATAACTACTATGTGGTAAAATGTTGATATTATGATGTGAACATTTCCAATTTGTTTTTATTGAAATAAACATTTATTATGTTATTATTTACTAATAATCTTTTATTATCTTCTCTCTCTAACTAAAAAAAAAATCAATTTGTGCTATGTTTTTAAACAAACATAATTAATCTAAATTTTTTTTACCACCAAGAGACTTGTACTAATAGAGATCCAATAGTACAACAATTAATACCATTGCTAGGTAATTTATGCCACTTTATCTTAATATGAATAGGAGTCTAAATATATGAAGGTTTAAAATGTTTTAGTTATCATCAATATAGAAAGTAGTTAAGTCAATCAAATCTTACCCAACACCAATAGACGCTGATGCCATAATAACACTAGACATGATACGTGTCTTCGGCGATACTTTGACATTAGGAGCTAAGATAGTGGATTTGATAGAGGTCTTCTCAGCAACATCAGCTTTATCCCCGACCAGGCAGGAGTCCGAGTCCAGCTGAGTCGATGAAATCGTAGCAGTAGACGAGATTCTATTTCCTTCTATTCCGGTTAATTCAGACCATTTCTCAAGAATCTAAAATTGGTTTTAATTTTATTAAATAATTTTTAATAAAGCAAACAAAATAATGCATAAGTTATTTTTTCCAAGAACTAACCAATCTATTAACTCTGGTATATTCCATGAGCGAGTTGGCGCGGATAGTGACCCCATCGGCTAGGTGGCCGTAACATCGTAAGGAATCACCCCTGTACACTGGTTCTAGCCTTGAATCAGTGAAGGTAGACATTAACCGAGCTTTGAGGATTAATTCATTTTCTTCACTCATTTCTTGTAGATCTGGAAGCATTTAAGAAAAAATAAACATGGATTGATGGAAAAAGAAAAATGAAAGAGAGGAAGATGCAAAGAAAGGGGCGCTTAAGAAAGAATTTGGTTAAAAGAAACTTCATATATAATTAATAATTAATATATAATTAAAGAATTCTTTACAAAAATAAACTAATAAGTCAATGAGTATGAGCCTATGAGTGTAATTACCAGATGAAAGCATGATATTTTTTTTTTAATGACGGTTAATTAAGATTTAGGGCCAGTTGTACAATTCACGGCTTTAACCAAGATTTATTTATCTGAGCTTAATCTACCAGTAACAGCTCACCTATATAATCATCACTTTTGGTCGCTAGTAAAAAGTTAAATCTAAACCAAGATATAGGAAGGAAGTAGGAGGTTACTAATAGGTTTTTCTAGTTCTTTTTTGTGTGAGCTTCTCAATGTCTTCTCAACTGTTTGTTTTTGTTTAACGAAAGTCAAAGTTAAATTAATTCATGCTGGTTATCAAAAAATATCTATCTAAATCTATCACAAAATTCATCATCAGACCAATGGATACACTTTTTTTTTTCATTAGAAAAAATGTAATTAAATCAAGGAAATCCTCGTCATCTGTGAGGTCTTCAAAATCTAGCATACCCCTTTTTGCAAGGGAAAAGATAAATAAAAATTATTAAAAAAAAGGATACAGCAAAAAAAATGTGGAAGGTTATCATAGTAGCCAAAGATAACGCTAGGTAACTCAGTTTTTCTTCAAAGTAAAGTTTAAACCCCTACGATCGACCGATTAAGATTAAACTTGGTTTAATTTAAGATAACACTTAATTTAAGCTTTACTGAGTTGGAGCAACTAGCCCTTATTTTACTTGTTTTTTTTTTTCCTTCATAGGTCAATGACTTATAAACCTAACATTTTGAATCAGATGTTGAATTTTTTATGTGTTTTTTTAAATTTATTAATATTATTATTCTTTTTATTCAAAGACAATCACAATTGAAAATCAATTCTAACTATGACTGGGTAATAAAATTTAATCGAAAATACCTGTTTTAAGATCAACGCCTATTACTGAAGCTGCCTTGTCTTGATCCATCTTTTTGTGTTTAGGCTGCATCTGCTTTCTTACTACGTGTGGCAAAAGTTCACCTTTGATAGTACTTATATTTCTGAAATAGTTCAATTTTTTTTTTTTATTCATGTATAAAAAAGCAGTAAAATATAAAATATTAAATAATAAAAAATAGAAACTCACTTGTTCAATACAAGATATTTACAAAGCGCTCTGGCAAATATATAAACATGAGCATCCAAAAGTTGAGAATTTAATGCTATTTTACCGAATTTTTTCACTAGTCTACATGGCAGGGGAAGTTCTTCCTCAAAATCCGATGCTGAAGCGACAAAAACCAACCGAGAGGTATTTTCTTCAATACCGATGAAATCCTTTTCTGAAAGAAAAAACAAAAAATGTATCAACTTGATATCAAACGGAGAAAACAAGTGTAATATAACAATATGTGAGTTTTATCACTGCCTGGTAAATTGATAAATAAGACATGGAGCTAATGGATTAGTTTCTTCATTCCTGATCAAATGGTAACTAGTTGTATACCAAATGTATTTTGTCAAAACATTTTTAGATTAAAATATACAATAAATTATAAGCAGGACGAGACTATCAACAAAATTAAGTAGTTTTTTAATAACCTTAAGTAAAGTTGAGAAAATTGAGTCAGGCTGTTTTATAACTTCTAAGACAATTATTTTTTTAATCTAATCAAACAAAAAGTTAGTAACAATAATTCCATCAGTTTATTTTATCTACACAATTTTTTCAACTTCTCAGTACTGAAAAAGTAGAGAGATCAATCAGAAGGTAAGCCAAACAAAAGAAAATTGCTGATTATTTTTTTATGAATAAACATTTCTTCGAGTTTATTGTTTGGATTTCTGAATTCTTTATTTACTTGTTTCTAAAAAAATCTTCAATCGTTTTTTAAACAACTATTAAATTATTATTTCTGATTGCACCATTCTTTCCATTATAGTGTAAACAATTCATTCCCTGGTATCTACTGTATATAAAATGAAAATTAATTTTATTAACAAATGGAAGCTTGAATTGTAGCAAGCTTAATTTATAAACAATATATTCAGTAAAGGAAATGTACATTTTTCTTTTTACTTTATTTTAAATTAAAAAAAAATAACCTTACTGAATAGACTCAGAGAAGTCAATATTTATGTATGGCAGATAAATGAATAAAATTAGGTGATGAATTTCTGAGCTTTACCTGTCTTATTCTTTGATTTAGGTCCAGGTACAGTTATAGATGATGCATTACTCACTGGTGCGAACAAAGCTGCAACAGTTGCATCGTGTTTCCTGAACAGTTCAAATAGCGGTTGGAGATTAACATTAGTAATCAAATCGCAGCTCAACACTAGCACGTCGGACTGAAAAATATATACTGAACATAATTCTTAGAAGAAATAATTAAAAAGGTATACTTAATCTTCATTTTTCTAATTAATTAATCACATATATATATATATATATATATATATATATATATATATATATATATATATATATATATATATATATATATATATATATATATATATATATATATATATATATATATATGTATATGTATATGTGTGCCGAAAATTGAATTTTAAAATAAGAGTATAGAAAAAATTTAACAGAAACATCCTCATATCACATGTATGCTATTGGTTTACTTAGAATTTTTGGTTGAAAGTCTGAACACCTTCATTCTTCAATAAGACAATCAGAGGTCTTCAATAAGACCCATGCTATTCATCTTTAATCCAGTTCATTCGGTAATTTTTCAGCAAAAATGATTTCTCGAATGAATTCGAGTATCCATAAATGTATTTATTTTTTCTAGTGTATAAAATGTGATGCAATAACTACTACTATTATCAGTTACCTTCTCTAGCAATAAGAATAAACTCGATAATGTTGATTTAATATATTATTCTATTTTTTGCTCCTGGTGATACAGGAATGAAAATTATGTGGCAGTAAAATTTCTGTGCACTTATTATAATGTTGAAACAAGTCAATATTTTATTCATTAAAATCATATAAAAAACTGGAATTCTCATAACATAAAAATGTGACATCCAAATTAACAACTGTTTACAATGACCAAATATAAGAGATGTTTTGTAACATAACACAAAATTTAATTTGTATACAACAGTTACCTAATCACCAGCACTTTTTGAAAGTATGCATATTACATACAAAGCAAAATTATTTGAACAAAATAATAATTGTATTTCAAAACAATACAACTTTGAGAAGAAATATTTAGATATTGATAAGAAATAAAAAGAACTTTTTAATATTAATATAAATTGCTGTATCTATTCTTGTCCAGACATAGGAATAATTAAACATTAAACATAAACTTACCTTTCAGACATTACATATTTTTGCCAATTACCTTAATTTTATTAGATTCTTCTAGATACCTAAGAGAATCTGCGGTTCCCCAATCTTCACCAACGGGTATTCCAATGAGCTCGATTTTAATTTTTAAGTTAAATTTTTCTAAAGCGGCCTGGATCTCACTTTTGTTTGTTTCCAGAACAACGATGAATACATCTGTCAGAATGACATACATTAATCTTTAGAAAGCTTCATTGAAATACATGCTTTGTATAACTTTACGACCTACCTTGAAATCCTGTTTTCTGGAGAAGATTCAAGGGGAACCATATCATGGGCAGATTTCCTACAGGTAAAAGACATTTTGGTTTTTTTGCAGTCAATTCTGTCATTCTTGACCCTTTTCCAGCTGCCATAATTACAGCTTGTATTTGGGACTTGGTATACATGCTTTTCTTTTTTTTGGAATTTTCAAACCATAGAAATAAAACAAAATCTTAAAATGAAATATAAATCAGAAATATATTTCACAATGTCTTTATGAAGGTATATATCCTTCTTTCAGTATAACAGTGCTACAGTAGAGAAATAAATCTTCAATTCCAAAGAGGTATTTTTCCACGATGAGGAAGTTAATACGATTTGTTTCAACATTGACATCGATGTGTGGTCACAATCTATATATTTTTTTCATGTGAAATATTAAATATATATTTCAATAATATTTATTATAAAATAGTTGCAGATTAAAAACTTTCCTTCTTAATAGCATACTACAACCATTATAAGCATAAACACTGAAGCCCACAATTAAAAAAAAACAAAACAAAAATAAATAAAATTACTTAGGGATTTCTCGAACCCGGATTCAATCTGCAGCTTATGTAACAGAATAAATAGTTATCTGCCCCCTCCCAGAACTGAATTCCAAGTGTGGGAGAATAGGAGTACACAGCGTTACTAACTACTAAGTAGTGGGGGGAGGACGAGATGGGCACCCCTGCTTGCTGCTATTTTTTATGGCAAATTTGGGATTTATTATTGTTTTACCTTATGTATATTCTTAAATTAGAATTAGCTAACAACCTTACATTTTCAAAAAAGAGAGTAACCCATTATTTGATTAACAATTGTAGTAAACAATATTTATTATAAACATAGCGAAATATGACTTAAATTGCAGTAAAAAACCTTATCTTAACATTTTTTTGTTTTTTCAGGATTCTAAAAGAATGCTTTTTCGTAAATTCTATATTATTTGTAAAGAAGTAAATCTATTGTATTCAAGAAGCAGTATAATATTCAACTAATTGAAAAATGCAGCGCTGAAGAATGTGTTATGTTTTAAATTATGAAGTATCTTACAGTGATTTGACCACAGATGAAAAGAAATCTAGAATCCCCGAGAGATTTATACGATCCCATGAATAAGGACTTATAGTATTTAATATCTAGTGTTTTTTTTAAAAGAAATTTAAAGTTATTTTATTACTCTTGCTGATTTTAGTAATGTATTAGCTTTTTAATAAATTTATTTATTTAAAATTATTCATTTCGTAGAATAGACATATTCTTGTTTAGTATTTTCGGCATTGATTGTGAATATATAAAATAAAAAATATTCCATCAGGATTATAAGGGGAAGAAAGAGGATAATGTGCTGCGCTACCATTACATTGCAGGTCCAAGAGTCATCCCCCTTTATAAGCCTGCGTTTTTCTTTGGAGAAACACTTTCCTTACGGTCTCGAATGTTTAAAAGGTGGTCTTGGTTCAAATTATGCCTGGATCTTTCAATATAGTCGTAATCATTAAAATTTTGCCCCCTATGCGACGCGTGTAACAATTCTTCGTATTTATGCTCCAACCATTTAGGAGGAGCGTAATCTTGAGCGTTTTCTTCATCGATTTTTAACGCTTTTCCAATAATTTTGAAAAGTGCTCCTTTGTCAATATGCAAATGGTCTAAATTAACATTCAATATTTTGGATACTTCACTTTCTTTGGTTCCAAAGAGAGGCATCCTCGGTTGTTTGAGAAAATTTAGTGAACCTGAATCATCGTCATATTTTTGAAACTTTTTCAGTCTTGAAATGTAATATTTACTAAACATTTTGGGAGGTTTCGTTGGCATACCAAGAGAAAATTGTAAATTATTGTTTTCACCATTAAGACATTGTTCAAAATACTTCATTTTAGGCACATTTATGATTTCATCATCAGGTTTCAAAGGAAAAATCTTATGGTCCGATGGTCCATCAGTGAGGGAACCTGAATTGATTGGAGGTTCTGTTCCTGTAATGTTCTGGAGAGAAGCGTTACGGAAAAAGGCAGCTGTTTTAATCGCTATCGCTTTTCGCAGCTCTTTATCGTTGTACATGTTTTGCAGAAACTGCTGATACAAACTTGTATTATTTTCAGTTGAAATATTATCTGATGAATCTGTTACCTGATTTAATTTGTTGGCAGGTTTCTCCATACTATAGAGTTTATTTTGTAGGTTAGTCAAAAGTGATCCAATATTCTCACGGTTTATTTCGTTAACCAATCTACCTCCTGAGTTATTTCCATGGGCTGTTTCGTTTAGTTCCAAGTTTTGCCCATTTTCATAACTTATTCCTCCTTGCTTCTTCCATTGTTCCAGCTCTGCATCCTGGAGTTCTACTTGTCTTTTATCGTTAATATTGGTATTCTTATCGTCATGGTCTCCAGAATATTTCGAATTAACATGATTAATAGGAACCGGAACATGAAAGGGAGAATCGAAAAGTAATTGATCTTTCTTTTTTTTGTTCTCGTATGACCAATCGTTCAAAGACGGTTTTTCATTATTGTCTTGTACACCATTTTTACTGGAAAGATCGACTACGTCATTATTGCCGGCAGGTTCTTGTGGATCATTTTCCATTCTTTTTGCAGAAGCGAAGCCGAAATATTCAGTCGCACTAGAAGGCTGAATCTGCAAGTTATCAATCAATTCTTCGTCTGAAGGTTCTGAATCGATGTTGTAAAATTCATCTCCATTAAACTTATTGGCAGGAGTGTTTTCTGGAAGTATGTTCTTTTCATTGTCAGGTTGTTTAATACTTACGCGCAACAACTGATTACCCAAATCAGAGTCTAGATCATAATTCTCACCTTCAATATACTGATGAACCGCTATATCGTCACCAAACCGTGAAAAATTAAGTTCAGGATCACCTGATTTTAAAGAATCCGAATCTTCTTTAAAACTTTCTGTAGATTTCTTGCCAGAAATATGAGAATCGAAAAATTGTCTATTTTCGTCAGCTGAGAGGTATAGTGACTTATCATTTATATTTTCAATGCCTTCTGTATCACGCTTGTTGATTTGGTAGTCGTCGTCATAGAAACCGGCTTCATGTTCATGCTTCTTTTCATCGTTTACAACATTGTCAGTTATTCCACCTTTCATTAGTTTTATCCTTGATCTAGAAACGAGATCGGCTGATTTCCCATCATGTTTGTTCATGTTATTGAGTATCTTGACATAATCAATTATTTTGGAAGAGTCAAGTTGAATAGTGGGTGGAGTCCTTTCAATTTCCAAATCTAGGATTCGCAAGTATCTGCTCAGCTTGTTTTGATCCAGGTATATTTTTGTCACTTCTCCTAAGCCCCTGGGAGAGTATGGAATGCGTATCTTTTCATCTTCTACCAGTAATTTTCCAATACCCTCCGTTTCGTTATTAAATATCTCTGGCTGTGCTATCTGTAACAAAAACCAAAATTTGAGTTAAGAAAAACAAACACAAACGGATTCTTTTTACACACTAATAATACGACTTTGTGAATGCCTCGATTTAAAGCTGAATCAAGAAATTGTATCCGTTATCTTATTAAAATATCTTTTGACGCATATAAAATGAAAATATCCATTGAATATTATTTATTACATGAGGTAGCATAATATGCAAGGTCAATAGTATGTTTTATTTTCGTTATGAAGTGGTTATTAAGAAATAAATATAACTAAATAAATTATGGATAATTTACTTTGAACGATTTCAAAGTCTTGAGGTAAGTCTTCATATTTTCTTTTTTATTTAAAATATCTCGTTGTGAGTAGGGCATGTCCGTTGGGCTTGGACGCGCATACTCTTTGCATTGGATAAGCTCTAAAACAAATAAATCTTATATTAATTTGACTATTGACTATAATTATTATAACCTACTAAGACTTGATCGATCAAATAAGAGTATATCAATCGATCGATTTAACCATCAGTAGAAAACATTGTTGAAAACATCCAGGGACCCTAGAAACTTTGTGGACTTCACTTCTTCCTCACCTTTTAGGCTATACGGTTTTTCCCAGACGAAGGGAAAATGCGGAGGTTTAATTCTAGAATCATTAGCCCTCTCTTGGCACTGGGACGCGAACTCGTAATTATTTTATCATTTTAAACTTCGGTTTATCAGGTTACCGAGCAACACATGTTTGGCAAACGCCTTAGCTCGCTCTACCATCAAACTTTGTGTCATGTTGCCTGGCACTCTTGCCTGGCTTGTTTATCCAACCAGGATCAGAGTACTAAATAAAGAGGGTCCTTTCTTTCTATTCAGATAGATGTTTTGTTAAACTTTTTTTAACTTGTTTATTGAAAATATTACAATCTGTCTCAAAGAACATTTATAATAGTATTCAGAGATCACATTCGCACAATGTACAATAAAAAATAAATTATACAGAAAAATAATATATATACAATAAGAACGTATAAAATAACCTAAAAATAAATAAAAAAGAACACATACATACTTATTTACACTATTAACAATCAGGCGAAAGAATTCCGAGCCAGGCCTCCAACTGTGGAGAGAAAAGCATGACTCCAGGAGATCCCTGCACTTCTCTCTCAACCGTTTCAATGGAGCTAAACCCAGTGGAGATTGAGCGAGAGTGCTTTAGCCACATACTCTCATGTCGTGAGTGGAGAATCTGGCCATTGCCAGAACTCCGATATTTACAAACTATAAAAGGTCGCAGGACCATTGCCGTTTTAACCTTCTTGGAGGATTATAGGGATGGGTGGTGCTGGATAAGGATTGTGCAAAAGGATTAAGATGATAGGCAAGGTTCTAGTGAAATTCGGAGAATTTCGCTGGGATAAGGTCTAGGACAAATGGGATATTAAGGTCATGGTGTAGGGTTTTGTTGGTTACATAGAAAGGAGCATCGACTATTGTTCGAAGGACTTTGGACAGGAAGGATTGGATGCGTTTGATTTTAGAAAATTTCGCTGTTCCCAACAGTTAAAATCCGTAAGTCCGAGTAGGTCTCAGTCTTGTGTAGTAGATAAGTATTTTATTTTCAATAGAAAGTTTAGATTTCGTATTTAGTAATCTGTATAGTTGGCCGTATTGTCGGTTAAGTTCCTGTCTTTAAGTCTAGTATTAGGATTCCACGTCAGGAGTCTGTCTAAGAG